TTGAACATTGTACATTGATGCAAGAAGGCTAGAATCACTGCATATACATACACTATTACACACTTGACCTATTATACTTGAAGACTGTCAAGTATAGTATATTTGAAGTCAATATATCATACTACACATAATTTGGACCATAGGAGGTTTGGTGTAGTGCAGTATGACATGTTTTTATGTTTCTCTATATGTTTTCGCAATTCTTCCCACGCAGTTCCTATGTTATATTGCTTCTACAACACTTATCTCATGGCCCTACATCCTGCGCCTATATTTCTAATATTTCATCAGTGTCCCTCACATATTACAACTGTCTGATTATAATATATCATATTTGATCTGTGCAGAAGAGCTTATCAGTGAAAATAGGAGATATACAGTATATATCCTTAATCTGCAGTATCTACGACTGATCCTGGCTGGGGAAAGACATAATAGACATGCTACTACAGATAGATAACTGGTCTGGATGATTTACAAGGATATAAGTATCACAAAATGCGAAAATCATCTGTGGTGTACCAGGGGGAGACATTAGCCTGTGTAGAAGGTTCCTGTTAGTCTAGTGGCGCGGTTAACTGATCAATATACTCTATATATACATAGTAATAAGCCCCATACATTTATTGAGGGCCAAAGTCCCAGAGAAAAAATTCCCAGGGAGGTGTATCAGCTGGAGGAGGTAGTGATGTGCACGGCCCAGCTTCAAGCTGCAGGCCGGCCAAAGCCGGCCCTAATTAGGCCGAGCCAAGCCGGGCCCCAGTCACGGCCTGACCATGGCTTAGGGCTCGGCTTGGGTAATTGAAAAGCCGGAGCTGGCGGCTCGAGCCGTGGCTTTCACTCAAGTGGTGCACTCACATCTGAGATGATGAGCATGATTATTAACTTATCACTCTGACCCCAATGTTACCAATTGTCTTTTTGAGTATTTGTCCCTCCGAGTCACATCTCTTTACATAAGTACCACACTCAGTCACTTTGACTCTTCTCTGAATCATGATTATTGATGCGTGGGTCCGCATGGGGCTGCTGGTGCCAAATGTACTGTTTAACCTTGGTCTGCTCATACAGCTCACTCAAGGACATTCACCAAGAATGGTAACAGCTCTTTTGTGAGCTCTAGTACAGATGGATTTTCTGCCAATGGAAGGTAAGAGCAATCACTTTATCAGTATGTGGAGTGCAAATGCATTGCACCAACAGCTTGCTTACATTCCATCAGGAAATCGGTGAGGAGATGTTTTTTGTAGATATATTTGGCAAAATCAAATCAAATATCCATAGATTATATCCAAAGACAAAGTGATATATAAGTGTAAGCATAATGGCATCCAAGGACAAGAAAACTCTAATCCTGATGAAGTTTTGTATGTTTCCACAACTATGATAGTTAGTAGATAGACCATTGAAGGAGTCCTGCATCTCTCCAAAATAGTGGTCATGTGCTGCCTGAGCTTGCCCCCATGATGATTATCTGCAATGTCAGCCAGTCAGTGAAGCAAGAGCTACAAGATCCTCATAATATTGATGCAAAATGGGCATTACTCGCAGTTATGATGTGTCCAAGGTAATGCCTTGTCAATTGTAAGTAGCTTTCCACTAGAATTGTTATGCGCTGCCTGAGTTCGACTTCATGATGATTATTTGCAATGTCAACCAGTCGGTGAAGCAAGAGCTACAAGATCCTCACAAAAATGATCATCACTCACAGTTATGATGCATCCAAGGTAATGCCTAGTCAAATTGCTAGTAGCCTTCCACCAAATTGATCACCTGCTGCCTCAGTGGAATTTGCTGCTCGTAAAGTCTGTGGGATGTGATAGTGGAGCATCTCTCAGCCTTCAAAGCTTCACTAGTTATAGCTTCCATTCTGGCTCATGTTTGCACTAACTCAGACCACAAGATTGGAAAAGTTGAGAGACATTCAATCAATAAATTCACATTAAGATATACAAACAAAAAACGAAGTAAATGGTCAATCAAGGGTTTGCAGCAGCATGGGTTCTTGATTGAGCAACAGCTGGCACACCAGGCTCATTTGCTACAAGCACCAGCCACCCACAACTGGTGCTGCGGCCTTTTTTCATTAGCTTCCCACTGGCATTGCTAGTTCCCTGATAACCATCGGTGAATAGGATGATTTTTGTCTGGTCGGGTTTCGTATAGGTAAGGATGAAACCGCAGTTCTTGCAAGAGAACTTGACATTGTCGGACATAGAGCGAGTGCTGCAGTTCCAAGGACGAACACAGTTGCAGTCCGAACATTGATATGGTAGAGGGTTTCCCCAAAGATGCTGGTTCTCGTCGAAGTATGTGTACGTCAATGTGATCATGGAGGCCTTTTCGTCGACATACAGGGCCCCTTTGTTGTATTCAGAGACAGTAGGTGGGCAATGACGGAAAGCATTTGTGATATGGACATGTATTATGGAACTGTGCATGCCGAGTTGAAAGGACGCTACCAGAAGATCCTGCATGGTGTCCTGTACCTTGAAGCCTTCAACAAGAACATGACTGACATAAGCGATGTTGAACACTGTGATAAGGCATGCATGAAAGCGCTCAGCACCGAATACAAAAGCATGTTGGACTTCATAACTGTATGGAATTATCTCAGCGCTGGGGCAACCAAGGCGTAACAACCAAAATACACACCTTTTGGTACAAGCTTTGAAATTGTCAAAGGTGTCAACTTCGCGTACCATATGGCCACACACCAACATCCACAGCATGCTTCCCTGCAGAAAGTTTTCCATGCCATTGACGAAGACTAGCGCAAAAAACTGTGAAGAATGAGTGAAATCAATAAATAGAAATGAGGGCTGACTCATGTCATTGATTGCATAGGCGACAGGTTCCCCTCGCTCACCTTTGTTCTTGCTGTTCTCGAACCCTCCCCAAAGGTCACCTCGCATGGTCTCTGAGTGAGAGTGGACAAAGACCTCGACACGATCATACCAACATGATCCTAGTTCATTTGCAAGCTTCGTCATTAACTTAGCGTGGTTCTTGGCCTTGGAAACTGTTCCGACGTCGAAGATGATTTCATGGTAATCTGCAGCAACGTATGGATGCAGTGCATCTCGCATGATGCATGCAGGTGATCCAAGGACATCAACACCATCAAGGATAAAGTTGAGAATGAGAACCGGCATGGTGCATACCTCTGACCGACTGGTCAGCTCAATGTGGCCATGGATAGTGACAGGCCTTGCCAGCGCGGGCTTCCCTTCAGCGTCCTCAAAACCCTAATTGTGGTACAACAGGGTGTAAGACTGAGGATCGATAAGCACAACCCACTTACAGAGTACGGTGTAATGATGCCCTTCCTATCCCGTTTATCGTGAACTTCATGGCAACCTGGGCATCTGAAAAGAATATCATCGCTGTCGATATACTCCTGTGACTCTTCTGGGATGGCAAGACAGCGTTTGCATATGGTGCACGGGCAAAATGAACACTTGTACATCTGTGGAGCGCCATTGCGGCACAACAAGCACCACTGTCGAAAGTCAGTGTTGTACACGGGGGGAGTCAGCCACGCTTACAATGTTCCAACGTTGAGGCTTCAGTGGGCCTTTAATCCCACTCATTATCATCTTCGACAACCCACTTGGTAACGTGTTGGGATATACACTTTTGATGAGCACTTTGCCATTGTGAATAGGGACACGCCTGAGGGAACCAGGTAGTACACCACATTTCGCAGGCCCTCCGGTAGACTTTATTTTGGTCCACCTGGTGTGAGCCATATCTAGTCAATGGGGCAAGAGGGAGTTGTATCGGAGAGAAAGATGAAGGTCCAAGGCACTAGACAGCAACCACAACAACTATCAAAACATACGACTTTAGCAAGAAACATAAGTACAAACACATGAGCCATACATACCTGCACAGAGTCGCAAAGGCAAAAGAGAAAGAGAGATAGAAAACATTGCGCACCAAAAAGGAAATTGCATGCATTGTAGGTCACATGCTGGGTTGCAATGAAAACAGATCCAGGTCTTAGGACTAATCAGTCGGGGTGGTTTGCAAAAAAGAATAGAAGATAGAATTGTGTCCGTCTAAACGAGTAAAGAAAATTACGGTAAATCCTCGCTGAGGCTAATCCAGCTTTTGGTAGATGTAAATCTGTGTAGAAACTCATCCATATCTGCTTCTGATTCCTGGGCATTGTCTACCCCTAATCTCAATCATTGTCGTTGATTGTAGGTGTCCATGTCAAGAATATTGAGACAGTCCAACACCAAATCCCACATACACAAGTCAATGTCCATGGTTCAGTAACGCGAAATACGACCTATAAAATAGTACTTCTTCTTGCCACATGCCTTAGCCTCTGTAGTTGCCCATGCATCCAAAGGGTGAGTTTCAGGGGGTAAGAGGACTCCCTTCCTGTAACGCAAGCAGACCCAGATGAGAACCCACATGAAGGACTCAAGATCGTGACGATACAAGTGCTCGACTTCACCTCGTAGACCTTCTTCGGTGAGAAGATCGAGTGCCATGAATGGCACTGTGCCTGTGCACTCATTGCCTAGAGGCCCCTTTGTGGTTGCCAACGATGATAGATCAAAGTCGTTTAAGACACCCATAAGGACACCTTTATCGGTCTCATAAAACATCATGTTAGGAGGGCTGACATCTCAGTGATGAACTCCTCCTTTCCAGAGAGCAAGATGGCCTGTACATAGTGTCAATGGAGATCCACATAAACGAAACGAACCACATACACAAGATGCATTGACACCACACATCGAAAAGACGTTCGCCTTCGAGGTTTGTGATGGGTTGGAGTCTGCAGAAAACGAGAATGTAGAGCACGCGGCTGCCCTTCTTGGGTTCTGGAAGGCAAAGTGCTTCTCGGATTGCAGAGGTAGGATTTTTGAACTTGTGGTGCCAAAGCAGGTGAGGTGTATGGCCTTCCACGGCCTTCTCCGTCTTGGCAATCTCTTCAACCTTTTTCAAGATCTCCGGCTCGCTAGTCCATCCCTCCTCTGCCCAGAATATTTTGGCCACCATTCCATCTTTCTGTACCTCAGGGTATTTCTTAGCTAGGTATTCGCTGGTGACCAGGACCACATTTGTGGCCCGTCCTTTCAGTCCGTAGTGAGTGACTCTTGCTTTGTCGCTGGTGTGGAAGAGAAGATCCATGCCGTCGACTTCCAACATTTGAGAACTTCCTTCCTTGTCATCCGATTGCAATATTTGCGAGCCCTCTTCCTCGTCGTCCAATTTCAATGTGTGTGAACCTCCTTGCTCAACTTCTTCGAAGTTCGGGTTTCGACCCCAATCCTCAAAGTTGAATCATTGTAGTGCATATAACAGCACCATGTATCGTGGAAGATCGTCAATGAAGTTGATGCCCGAGCATTGAATAGTGCCCTGTCGATCATAGTACCAGACCCAGATAATAGCATCTATGAAAGGTATGGTAAGTGTACAGACATTGGACGAACAAAGACAAATAAACTGACCGATGATAATAAGATTAAGGAGATGTTTGACTGCAATATTTGCTGCGAACATTTTGGCAGCATATAGTCCTGTTTGGACAGTCACATCTAACTTGGGCTCCATCTCACTGGTCTTGGTTCGCTTGCCAGTGTATTGCAAAGGTTCCTCTGCCTTGTGCTTGGAACTGGAGTTACTGGTCGTGGCCGGGGACTGTGCAATAAGACGGTTCAAACGGTGTATAGCTGGGCTGATTTAGTTTGATCTCTGGAACTCGGATTGATTACTTACTTGGAGGGGCAGCTTTAAGTTGTTTCGCTTGGGTCTGCGAAGGGCCTGACACTGGGGTCTTGGGGGCATTGGTGGCAGGAGTTTCTACTCCCAGATATTCTGGCTTTGTAGGGACATAACTCTTCACGTCATATGAGGAGGGGACACGAAGATACTTCTTCATCTTTCTCTTGAACTCGATCGATGCCAGCACGTTTTTCCAAAGGAGTTTTGCTTTCGGTTCCTTGATTGTATTCTTGAGGATATACTCCACGTCTCCAAATATATCACCATCTTGGAAGGCGTCGAGTGAGCTTTGCAAAGGAAGTATGATGACGTCGGGCCGCTGTTGCAATGTCGTGTTCTGGTGGGATTGGGTCATTTTGATATCATTCAGCTGCAAGACAATATCTGGCTTGCCCAAAGTAGCACGCATTCCTTCGATCTTGATATTGTCAAAACAAGCCAGCGCAATGTTGGTGGCTGTGATGAAAGGCTCGTAGTAGTCCTCTTCGACTCCTTTCAACACACTTGCAATCATTATGAGCGTGACGACACCCGATCACTGAAAGAGTACTTACTATTTGTCAAGGGTGTCCTTGATGCAAGAAGAATGAAAGTCTTTATCAGGGGCTTTACCAATGGGCATTGCAGTCCAATTGCAAACTGATAGAACGGCCTGGAGACACCTTCCCAGGAGGTCAGGCTGTTCAGTCTTTGGATTTAGAGAAGTGCGCTGCAAGAGGACTTCCAGCATCTTATCTACGTGGTATCTCTCAGCCTTCTCGATGTCATGCTGAACCCATGGGCGGACTTGATTAACCCTGCATGAACGTTAGGTGCCAGCCAGAAACAAAAGGAATGAATCTCACCAAGTACCAACCAGGCCAATGTGTTCACTGACAGTAGCAGCCCCGCGACTGTTTGGGGTAGTTTTTATTGAGCTCACAGCTTGAGCTGGTACATTGGGGTGTGGCGGAGTAGATGATGAGTTTGGCTGGCTCGGTTGTGCACCACCAGGTGACATGACAAGTACTTAGTTGTTATCGCACAGCTACTGAAGTGGGAAAGACAGAAAGATTGACCAAGTATTGGTTCTGCTTCCCTTATATCTGGTCGGCCAATATTAACGTGGCGTAGAGAGACGCGTGACATGTGACATGTTGATTAGTCATGTGAGACATACCCAAGCAGATGTGGGGTCTCACTGATCCCTCAGTAGGGCTCGGTGAATAATTCATGGTCGATTTGTAACATTTGTTAATTACAACTCCATTACCTGCTGGTCGATGTGGGTCTTGCATGACCTGAGCATACAGCTTCAATGCAATTCACGATTGGTTTGAACGTACCATCGTGGCGATGTTCAAGATGCCTGCTGGTTCACACGATGATGAATTTTTTTTGATATGTACTCATCATAATTGCCCCTGGGCTGCTAGGGAACCAACCCTGAGCCACAGATATAATTAGCACGCGCATGCCTCAATATCATGCAGGATATAGTACGGCATTGCAGATAGCATGGCACTGCAGTATATATGCATATGTAGTCAATCGGGTATTTTATTGATGTGCTGTATGTACTATGTAGAAGGAGGAACCAGATGAGGCTAGGATGGACTTTAATGTATATAGTGCTGGTCCATAGTAAGTTGAATATCATGATACAGTGGTAGATGTGATGAAATCATAGTACAATGGTGAGTTACTCAAATCTATAGCTAGAAGTGTTCTTGAGTGATGCTTAGAGTTAAATAAAAATCACAACACACCTGAAACACTGATTCGCTTTGTTTATGGCGCATAGGATTCAATCTTTGATCACTGCAGTCAGACTGCGCAAGGGCGTCATGGGCGATACCATGGCCGCTGTGACTGATTCGACTCGCTGGACACATTAGGTAAAGCCACCAGCTGTAGCATTAGCCTACCAGACTTACTGATGCCATCCAGATCTCTATTTGAGTCTGTTGTTTAAATTTAGCTACTTACAATCAATGATGACGATGGCTTACCATAACTTGGTTTCCGCTGTTCGTGAGAAGCGGTCCCATTGAAGCAGTTTGCATTGTATGAGCCATGTTTGAAATGTATGATGTATATCAGATATGGTCAGAAAGGGGCTTTCTTTATTCAACCGTGTTTCCTTAACCAACGCCTGTCACTGGTATAATGGACACAGTTCTGACACGGTGACGATGGAATATGAGGGCCACTGTAGAGGTTCTGGATGATGGGGTTAGCAATATCCTCCAACTCCTTTTGCTCCAACTTGTAGTTTTCATCCAGGGTTCCTTGTGGCACGTCCGCAAGATAATCTTGTTCATGGTGTTCAAGTTATCATTAGCTGCTGCCAGTATCATCAGCCAGTGAGAAGTCGAGGACTCCCGATAATTATAACCTGCAGGACAAAGTGAAATAGCAACAAGCGTAATGCATCGTCAAACACTCGCCTTCTGCAGCAATTGATTCAGAATCTGAGCCAAGAAGTTACATTGATAAATTTGCATAGGTCATCATTTTGGAGTAGTAGCATGAAGTCATGCGGTTAGAAACAGCACCAAACTCGAGGAGGGCTGTGCAATGTACATTAAGCTTGTGAAAAGCACCCACGGCATAAGTATGTAGTACATTTGTAGTACATACTACTTTAGATTGTCAGCACAATGGTTCATGCAAATATTAGATATTAAGACTGAAGTCACTGAGTTGTGACGATCCATCCGACAGGCAAGGCCTAATGACATTACTCAAATTGGAAATTATCAAAGTCATCTGTCACATTATCACGGTCTACGTCATAGTAGTACAATTCGTCTGGTTGAGGCAGAGGTGGAGGATTAGAACCACCAGAAGATGACGACACGCCTGGAAAGATATCAGCAATTGAAGAAAACATGATGAGCATGCCCACTAATATTGTCACAAGAGTTGAATTCACGAGCATTTTCGATGGCCACTGTATAGAGGTCTATCTCTGCTTGGGCGCGGCGCATTTTTGCCTGCAAGATAAGTAGCTCCAACCCGATGTCGCCATGATATAGGTCGCCATTAACAGTAAAAGACTGTGTCATTAATCCTGCCTGGCAGGCTTGTTCTGCATGGAATGCATCGTAGAAGGCTTCTTGGACATCGACGGCTACACATGTGCTCAACAGGGATAATGAAGCACCAACACACTTCAGAGAGACAATGAGAGCAGCTGAGCAGATCAATTACGGTACTGACATTTAGAATGACGGATGTCCGTTTGTCGTCGTGTGCAGGGACGAAACCAGATGTTGAATGAGTGGAAGCATGCAAAAAACAGTAATGTCCCATCAGAGGTGGGGCATCTGAGAGGGGGTGGGCGTATCGTCCCCCTAACCAAGCTTCACATTTCTCTCGTGTAACTGTCGGACAGGCTGAGCGTGTTGAGGGAGACCTGACGTCATGCTTGACTGGACATGCAAAACGATGGACTGCTTTATAGCAACAGGGTTCAGACTACTCATTTGTGTGCCAAAGTTGAAGAAGCTCACACATCTGGTGCTGCTGCACATGTTTGATAGCCTGACGGTACAAGGACACCTCCATCTGACTTCTTTTCTTCCTTTCCTCCATAAGAATATGCTCTACAATTACATGCCTTTGTCCCTGAAATTCAGCAAAGTAATTGCTTTGGTGTTGGCACAATATTCCCTCCTGTTTCGCTTCAATAGTGTGCTCCCCAACAATTTCCCAAATATCGCCAGGAGAGACTCGGTCTTTTAGCAAGAATGACAGAATCTTCAATTCAGTCTGGAGCTGTATCACAAAAAAAAAAATCAGGATATACGAGATGACGTGAAATTATGGACTGGCCTTGACATTTGCTATGAGTCCTATGTAGGTGTCCAGCAATCCAGTACCTAGTAAGTTTGAGAATTGAAGAATGTTTGTACAAGCGACTGAATTGTCAAACAGCTCCAAAGGTGAGAGGCACATTGACATCAAGAACACTAATTGTTGACAAGGGATGTGGGAGTATATACTCCGTACTGTGCCCTTATACTATTTATAGCGGCAACTGAATCCCTAAAACATACTACTTTCCTTACCAAGTACTCTACTTCTGACTGGCCATCAAAAAGTGAACTGGCCATCAAAGTGTTTGAAGTTCACTTTTGATGGGCAGGTCTTGGGACTCATAGAGGGTATCAATCTGACTACGTTCGCAGAAGCTTTGCTTGCTGAAGGCCATGCATGAAACTCATGCCTAAAAGTGCCCATGCCCATCATCTTTTAACTGAGCAGTGAATCGCAATTAGCTGGATCAACAGAAAACGAAGACCAGCCTGTCGCTGATAGAGATCGACTGAGAATTTATGCGTGGAGCAGACTCATAAGTGAAGCTCCTGATAGTTGTGAGTGAAACATCCTTAACAAAGGAGGGGGACAAACTATCTCTCTCGAACTCGAGTACATCTCTCTGGGTTTGGAACATACTACATAGGTATATCACTCTGGTTAATTTCCACATCGTGTAGTAGCAACACATTCGGAATTTCGGTCGACATTGATACCTTCAAGACTAATCAGCACGACATTGGCTACTTCAATGAAAGACTTGCAGTATACGTTTTCGACTCCGTGATACACTCCATGCAATCGTTCGAAGCATGACAACACCCCGATCAGCAACAGAGCACCCACCAACCTCGGGGGACTTTCTTGATGCGAACATGATAATAAAATGAAAATTTCCAGCAGATTTTGCACGCCTAATGCCCATCACAAATAGGTTTGTAGAATGGTAACTTCGCAGGACATCACTTTTGAGCCCTTGAGACTAATATTGTGAGAATCGTGCCCGGGCCCATAGGCAGTCGTTCCTTCTGTATTGTGGAGGTCACTGACAACAGCAGCCCCACAGCTATTGAGGTAACAGAATGAACTAGTACATTAGTACGTGACAGAGTGAGTAGTACATGAAGAACCTGTTGTGCGTCAACTTACTATTGTGAGGCTGGCTGGCATGGCGCGACTGAATGTTGTCCGTATGTCAATGGGAAAGGCGAAGTGGATGGCCACTGCCATTTCCTTTATATCTAGTGAGCCAATGTGTTGCAATGGAGGCAAAGCATAAAGTACTGATGGTAAAGTTACAATTACGAACGCACAACTTCCCCAACTCCTATGTTACTAGAGGAGGGCTTCAAACGGATTCCCATGGCCCAAAAACCTTGCAGAAAGCTGTGCAAATTTCCCACATTCCAATTAGTTGAGTATGTAGACCATGTACCCTTATATTCAGTTAGTATTGAATTCTCACTTTATCATTTTCCGAGATCCTACAGACTATATGCAACTCAACTGATACACAAGGCAACGTACAGCAAGCCATCACCCATGTGTGAATTTTCCTTTCGATGATCTGCTGCGTGTTGACTTAATCAGAAATTGAACACCTTTACACGTGTACCGGATTATATTGCATATCTGGCATACATCTTGACCGCACTCCCCCAAGAGGACGACCAAATCCGCACAATAGAGGGGTATCTGTTGAAGAACAACGCGCGTCTACTCCTTAACGTATCTCCGGATGTGGCTGAATATGCAAAGTCAGCTGTTCTTCAAGCTTTTGTCAGCTCTCCTCTTTTGATAAGGAATGCTGCCGGACATAATATTGTTGCTTTCCTAAGTTCTCACACACGTACGAGACTTACACAACTTGTAAACAAATAATAAGGGAAGAGCAGCCAACTCAAATGTCACTCGGTCTTTAGATTCAATTCTCATCAGTGCCCTGCAAGGCATCGTAAGTTTTCAGTTCTTAGATTCTATCAGTGCTCGAGTCTGAAAATAATAACCGTTGATTCAGCTCACATGTTCATGAGTATCAGTAATTGTATATTTATTTCGAGTCAGTGCATCACAACAACATGTCGGCGATGTTCAGATTCCAGACCTTGAAACCGCATACTCACTCCAGACTTCTCAATTCCGACCATTCTGCCGTCCGGCGGAAGGACTTGAGACTTGAGTATTGATATCATCGTCACCGATCACCAGCAGCAGTTGGACAGTATTGCATAGGAAGAGGTCTCCTCTCAGATTTGAGAGTACTCGTTATGTATCTTGCCTGAACGCTAGTGTGAAGATGGCCAGAAAGCCATTGCGAAGATGGCCAGAAGGCCAGCGCAATAACAGCCAGAAAGCCATTGCAATAATGGCCAGAAGGCCATTGCAATAACAGCCAGAAGGCCATTGCGAAGACGGCCAGAAGGCCAGTGCAATAACGGCCAGAAGGCCATTGCAATAACAGCCAGAAGGCCATTGCAATAACAGCCAGAAGGCCAGTGCAATACCAAGATCGTTGGGAGGTTTGGGAGAGAAATAGGAACTTGGTAGACAACATATAAATCCAACCAATGTCACGTGATGTGACATGAGTGTGACTAGTCTGAGTTACTATACACAGAAGAACAACACCTGCAGGCTGGGTTTCCCGACAAGTAAGCTTTATTAGGCTGGGTGAACACACGTCTCTCCCAGCCTAATGAGGCTTTGATGCAGTACACTGCAGACAACACTTCGCACATTGCCGAAACCTTTGTGCTCGCTGTTGCACACAGCGAACTCAAGTATACCATGATTTCAACATATTTTTTCGTACTTTCTTCACTACCCTATGTAGTCACACATTTGATAACATCTATTTCGCTTTTTAAAAGCCTGATGACAATAAAATAAGTCTATATGAATGTACAGGTGCTGCAGAGGTACTATAGCTCCTCCACCTTCATCTATGGGCCCCAGAGCGTCGCTCCCCGGTCAAAAACACTCCAATCAACTGCAAGAAAATTCCCATGAAGTAAAAATGCGAAATAAAATCACCTAAGGTGCTGGGAGGTGTTCTGAGGGAGGAAATAGGGCCAAGAGAGGGGAGGAGGCAAAATATACTGTCCTGGACATCATATAATCAACCATAGAAGTCCTATAGACATCCTACAGTGAGGGGGGACTTAGTATAGTGCACCCAGGAAAGATGCATCATTGTTTCACACTGCACATGAACTCTCAATTTTATTGAAGCCTTCTGCAAGAAGTCTTATACTTACTTCCGGCTGGATGGGTATATTATATCATTCATAATTGTAGCATTTCTTATCTTACACCAATCCGCCTTAGGCAGACACCAGCAGGGAAAAGGCAGGAATGTGTCAACACATTTAATGAATCATCTCAACACAGCCACCATAGGTTGCTCACTTAGTATGAGCGCACCAATCTGACCTCATGTGATGGAAAGTTCTTTTCTTGCCGAGTTCAAAAGTGGGCGGTGTTGGACTGAAACTTATTGGCATGTCAAGGTTATGTGGACATGAAAGTGTATGCGAATATCCAGTAGGTAAGTAACACATTGCATGACGTCATGTCACTGACATCGGTCAAAGCAATAATGATCGTCCTCGTCGCATTTGCACCCGGCCTGAACAGACATGGTGGTTCATTGCTGGTCTCACTCCTACTTGCTTGCATTTTGCAGCGTTTAAACAAAACACAAAACTCCTTTGCAGCAATCCCATCACCAACAGATGAGTCGAGCTTGTTCAACAACTTTGTTTGCTCCCAGAATGTCCACTCGAGTTGAACAGGTGGGATTTGGTGTTCTTTATCACACATCAATGAAAAAGTAGTATTACAACGAAGTGTGTTCATACCTCTTCGCCAGTACTGGAAGGTGGCCATAGGTGCCAGTTGGAAGTACTTGTCTATCTTTACTAGGTGACCATCAGTATTTGATCCTCTTGAATATGAAGAATGAAGCTAACCTTGGTATCCGCACCTATTAGAGGCACATCTCGCAATCCAATAAGTCTTCCTCGTGGTAGTATTCCACCAATGGTACACTGCCGCCTCTACATATGCACCTCTTCCACCGCCATCAGCACATAGGCAGCATGGGTATCTAATATCATATTCTTTGTGGTACTTCTCTAGGTCGGACGGTGGAATCTTCCTTCCCTCACCATCAGCAGGCCTATGTTTTTTGGAGCAGTGTCATTCCTTAGGATTCGCACAACGTCCAAGTGGCAGCTGACCAACACCATTCAACCATCAATTTTGAGACACTGTCATAGTGTAGGAGGGCGAAGCAGCAAGTCATAGCTTCCGCAATCAATTTTGCTAACCTTTGAGCAGTTTCATGATCGCAGGGTGGGTTAGTGATGGTAGAAGAGGGTGATGATGGCGGTTCCATTTGGTTACTTAGTACAGGGATTCATTCTCTCCCCTTCATTAATGAATCTGAGGCTTTTAACCACTGACTCGTCTAGCCTTTCTTGGCGTTATAAAGTGCGCCAGCCTTGCCGCCAGAGGTTCTTCAAGTCTTGGCTTGTGAACTTGGCACTGCAATGGCAATTCAGGTAATCCCGCTGGCCACTGGCGCTGGCGGCTGATAAGCCTGTTTAACTGTGGAAATTTACAGTTACCTATATGTTCTATGTTGCTGAAAGTGGTGAGTTATTTCATCCGATCTTTGGGCATTGAGCATAGCTTATCGTCATTCCAACATTCCATAGCTCTTCATGGACCTGGTAGATTCAGCATCAGGTCCAAGCCCTTTCAGATGCACCTGTGCTCAGGAGTTTACACAGGAGAGCACTTACACCAAACATCAGCGCTCGTGTGTGAAAGGCAAGAAACACTTGTTCTCTGCGTTGTCCAGAGCAAAAGATCTCCTAGGCTCTGTAAAACATTCCCGAGTGGCTAATAACAGTGATAGGCAATTCTCGAGTACTCTGACTCACCCTCTATGAGTACCATTGTCGTCATCTGGCAAGACATTTAATGCAGAGTCTTCCAATGTCTCAACCCCGTCAGCGATGCAGGAAGTATCGTGTGCAGGTCCTTCATCACACAATGGATCCGATTCAGCACCTGATATCGTTCTCGGCACGGTGTCCATGGAAATGGATGAAGAGAGGTTATTGCTGGCGCAGCAGAGGAGCTGACGTGTTGGCATCCTCATGCTGCTGCGCTATAGACAGCATGATGATGTACTTCTGGAGCCTCCCCCGAGTGTTCCCCCCAGTCGTACTGCCCAACAACCTGAGTTGAACCTACCTGCAAATTCCAGCAATATGTCTACTATGCCTCCTACATCGTTCTGAGCTCCTCCTTTCCACACAGCAAGGAATTTTTTTGGCCTAGTGCACCAGTTCTTCTCATCGGCTCCCCCCTCTCACGACCTGGAAGAGGTTGTAACTCTCCGAGATATCAGTTCTATCCCAGCTGTTACTCCAGAAGAACCAGATATCCCCGCAGAGCCCCACAATATTTTGTTTCATCCATACCCCAACCAATCCTCTTTTGAGCTCGGTCATTGGTACTGGAACGGCAGTGTGCAGAAGTCCCATCAAAGCTTTAAGGAACTGATCGACATCATTGGACGTCCAAATTTCGATCCTGACGATGTGCGAAGTACGCAGTGGAACAAGATCAACTCGCAATTGGGAGTGAGCGTTCTGAATGAAGAAAGAGACGAATGGGAGGATGATGATGCAGGTTGGCTCAAAACGCAAGTGACGACCGACGTTCCTTTTTCCCGGACCACAGCTCAGCCGGGGGCTCGACCTTACATTGCAGCAGATCTTTACCATTGACCTCTCATTTCTGTTATTCAGGAAAAGCTCTCAAATGCTCAGGACAATGAACTCTCCCATTATGAGCCTTATCAGCTGTGATGGAGCGCCCCGCATCTTCTACATGAAGTGAATATTCAGGGTGAGTTATACACATCACCAGCCTTTTTGGATGTGCACCGCGAACTGCAGGAGTCTCCTAGAGAGCCAGCATGTGATTTACCCCATGTGGTCGTCGCACTCATGTTCTGGTCAGATGCTACCTATTTGACAACTTTCGGTAATATGAAACTATGGCCGGTATACATGTACTTTGGGAACGAATCAAAGTACTGCCGGTGTAAACCATCCTGCAATCTGGGTAATCATGTAGTGTACTTTCAAAAGGTATGATGGTCATCATGATGCATTCTCCAACTCTGTATTGAAGCTTCCTGGCAGCTTCTGGACTCGTTCAAAGACTTCGCAGGTACTTACACCCAAGGCAAAGGAGTTGGCTGCGAATGCACAACACATTGCCACCGTGAATTATTCCAAGCTCAATGGAGTGTTTTGCTTGATCCTGAGTTTTTAGAGGCGTATGAACATGGGATTGTGATTCCATGTTGTGATGGCGTCAAACACAGGTTTTACCCGCGAATATTTACCTATTCTGCTGACTATCCTGAGAAGTGAGTCAACATTATCTGTAAGATATCTCAACTCACAAAAACCAGGGTTCTTATTGCGGTGATCCGGCAGCTGGGAGGCTGTCCTTGTCCACGATGTCTTATACCAACGGAACAAGTTCACAATCTAGGAATGAGTCGTGATAGGCAACAACATACAACTCTTGCACGCTCCGATGCCTCAAGGAGTCAGCTGGTTGCTACAGCACACGGGTTTATCTACGAGAAGAACTATGGTGTAGACAGTATGGCTGTTGAGTCCCTGCTCAAGCCTAATTCATGGGTACCAACATCCATGAGTAGACCATCAGTTTCTTTTCTTGCTTTTGTTAATTCTTGATTAGAACGCGTTCTCGGACCACCTTGGTCCATTTGGATTTGATGTGTTCGTTGCGCTCATTGTCAATCTTCTACACGAGTTTGAGCTTGGGGTATGGCGCATGCTTTTAGTTCACTTATTGAGAATTCTTTGCACCCTGAATAAGGACCTCATCCATGAGCTTGACAAGAGGTCTGCCTAATATTTATCTGATGATGGCTGGGTTGGCTAAAAATCCATGAACTTTACAGGTTCAGGCAGGTGCCCCCATTTGGACCAGCAACCATTAGGCGATTCTCTGCAAACACTTCCGAAATGTTGAACATGGCAGTACAAAACTTCGAAGATCTCTTACAAGTATGTCTCCAAAACAATTGACATAGGTCTTCGTGGACTAATTTTATGAAAGTGTTCTATCCCGGTCTTTGATGGCCTTCTCCCCGGCGATCACAACAAAATCGTTTTGGATCTCCTGTTCACCATGGCACACTGGCACGGACTTGCGAAGCTCCATATGCATTCAGACCTGACTTTAGATATACTTGACCAACAAACAACTGATCTGGGCAAACAGTTTCGTAAGTTCAAGATGAAAGTGTGCACTGCATACCACACCCAGGAACTCGACCGCAAAGCCGACGTGCGGTCTTGCTGACAGGCAAAGGAGGCAGCTAAGTGGGCAGGGAAAGGCAAGGCGAATGATGCTGTGCGAGGGACTGTGGCTCCACAACCTAGAGCAGGTGCTAACGCCAAAGGGAAAGAGCCTGCAAGTCTGGAGCAGTCACGGAGGAGTAAGCCATTCAATTTTCAAACTTACAAGTTTCATGCACTTGGGGATTACGTGGCCTGCATCCATCGCTTTGGAACAATGGATTCATATAGCACTGAACCAGTAAGTTGTATTGCGCTGCTCGCCCCTGCCATACCTCAATTTCTATCAGGGAGAATTAGAGCATTGTATGCCGAAAGGCAGATACCATCGCACTAATTGAAGGACATTTGTTAGCCAGCTGACTCAGATCGAGTGTCGTCAAACGCGTCTATGCCACATCAAGCAACGGCAACAACATTCAGCCCATCGTACAAAGGTGAACGAAACAGCGAGTGATCCCCAACTACACCATCACATTGGTCGAAGCGAGAAGATTTATGATGAGATTGGCCACTACCTCTGCAGCCATGCGAAAGATCCCACTATGAAGGTGAGCAATATCTTATTTGATCATCCTCGTTCTGAGATGTGTCTCAGGACTTCCTGCCTCGATTGAAAGACCATATTCTAGATCGACTCAAGCCAGGGGAGAAATTGGCCAGTCTTGACCAAGATCATGACTCGATTCTCTTCAAGCGAAACTGAATATATCACCACAACCTTTCACGATTTAACTATACCACCTATGATGTTCGAAGGGCTCAAGATGTCATAAATCCCAAGACGCCTCATTGCAACATCATGTTACTCAAACATCATGACGATCACAACGATGAGGGCCACTACCATTATGCCAAAGTCCTTGGCATACACCATGTTAATGTTGTTCGTGTAGGGAACATGTACGAATCCGCCAATTAGAATTTCTTTTCGTTCGATGGTATAAATCTTCCCAAAGTCACTCATGAGGAACAGGCAGATTAGGTCGTGTTCATTTCATGCCTCTGGCAAATCGGCATGCATTCGGTTTTGTGGATCCAGCAGTCGTTCTCAGGGCATGTCATATCATACTGGCATTCTTGCAGGGTCAGTGCAATCCCAGTGAATGCGGGATTTCCACTGTTGCAGGAGATGAACATGACTGGCACGAGTATTACGTTAACAGGTAAGTATTCCTACTCATTTTGGCTATACTTACTGATACAATTGCATAGCTTTGTCGATCGAGACACCATCATGCACTTCCATTACGGCCTTGGAGTAGGGCATGTGTACTCTCATGAGGCTCAAATCCCAGAATGCCCTTGTTCGGCACAAGAGGCACCTCACCCTGTCCCACAGACCACACCACAGTCAAGCGAACATTCAGAAAGGGACGAAACCCTCATGGAGACCTCTAACCGGCAAGCTCCTGCTGACAATGAGGATGAAGGGGACAAAGAGGAAGATCACGTTGGAGTCGAAGAACTGGATTTCTTTGAGCAGGAACAAAATGGCAGCTCGGAGTCACTCGTTGAGGCACTAGACGAGATGTTCACTGACTATGTGTTTGACTATGAAAATTAGTGTAACATACTGTATACCCCATCTGACGGCACTGGGCACCAATATGACTTGCGGTTGCTTCTTGCAAGCCCCATTGGTGAATGACATATTAATTACTGGTGAGCAGTTTACATATTACTGACGACCAATGCACTTGTTCCTAGAAATCTATTCACTCATTTCCGGCAGTCAATTCACTTGTTTACAGCAGCCAATTACTCATTTCTGGTGGCCAATTTACCGATCCCTGACCATCACCACTGGCCACAGGATGCTCAATCCCTAGCCATCACCACTGGCCATGATTCGATGATTCCTGACCTTCGCCAATCGCTGGCTATTGCAAGTAATGGGTTAGCATCCCTACCATATAGCTATTTATTATCACAGTTTCATTTATTGGTCCCTCCAATTTTGTGCCGCCTCCAAGTTCTTTGATCACCATGCAGGGTGAGTTAACACGATACGAATCAATGCTATCTCATTGATAACTTGACTGAGAATAGCTCTTCCCCCTGCTCCGATTTATGTGTACTTGTCAAAACGGAAGCAGGCCTTCAGGCTTGTCCAGCTACCTGTATGTAGACTCTACTATTTGTGTATTGTTCGCTGATGATTTTACTCCAGAATACTACAGTTTGTTCTCGTTTATCACCCGTCGTTTTCCTCTAACTTGCTATCTCAGCAGCCGTTCGTTGGATTTGCCGAGCACCTTTTCCTCGTAGGATATCTTGCGCACATCTACCGACAGATTTCGCCACTTTACGTGAGTAAATTGCAAAATCAGTCATCTCATCTCATCTCATCATGTTGGTTTGTAGTGCGCAGAGTTTGCACCAGACCTTGTTTTGCCAACTGTAGGGGTGTTGGCCATCGTGCAGCAGGGGGATGTAGTATTTCACACTGTATTTGAAAAAGAGGTGAGAGTTCCATTGCTTCAGAAGTTTCATATTTGAAAGGATGAACATAGGCTGGTGATGGTGATTTTCTTCGGAATGTGAACACCGCATTTTGCAGCCCAAACTTCAGAGGGCTTGGCAGTGCCTTGTGGCCCATGTGTATTGCTTTCATCACAATGTGTTGCGGATTGATTTTGCCCATTCATTGGTCACATTGTTGTTGCACCATTCAATCATATTCAATGCAGCACCGTTTCCCTATGGATACTTGCCACCTGCACCTGTTCTGCACATATCACACCTTCCTTCGACTGAACTTGATGAAGTGGTTCCTGATGGATCCATACTACCTGCCCCTCTCGCTGCCACAGCACCTCTTCCGCATGTGTCACAGGCCCCAGCCCTTCCTTCAACTGACGAAGTATTTCCTTATGAACCCATGGCACCTGCCCCCCTCGTTGCTGCCGAGGCAGCTCCTCATCCGCACATGTCACAGGCTTCAGTCCTTCCTTCGACTGACAAAGTGTTTCCTTATGGACCCATGCCATTTGCCCCTCTCGCTGCCATTGAGGCAGCACCTCTTCCTCATATATCTTTCGCCCCTCCGTCGATTAACGAACAGTCTGTATACACATCATATTATCCATCCATTACCTCGTTTAACGGCTACACCAAGAACTCAAGTGATCACCCACTCGTTACTGCTGCGCCAGCTGGTTCCGTCGAGGATCTGATGGTTTACTTCGATACCAATGACATCCTTGCTGAACAGCTTCCACAGGCGGTGTTTCACCAGGCGTTGATCTGGAAAGGTGTGGATGTCAAGTTGGAATCTGACCTCTGGGTGGCTATTTCCGCTGCACTGGGAAAATACCTCTGGAATCACGTATTATTCTTGACAAAGTGCCTTTACCTTGGTTCTCTATGGGTCGGAGTAGCAAACCCATTCAATCTTTCCGAACTAGCAGGAAGGCAGCTGATTAGCACTTGCTTGCTCATGGCAATAGATCTTGATTGCACCACGTTACAATATCTGGAAGACAAACTGGGTGAGCGCCTTCTTTTATTTCTACATGTCACTATCTAAGAGTATGGTCAGTGATCGTGAAGGGTCAGGAAACCTCACCTGTTAGATGGAACACGCTTCGTCTAACTGTACGCTTTTCTTGCTTTGTATGGGCCTTTGCTCACTCCTAAGCATTGTGGGCAGTTCTGTAATCACATCGAGAACAGAACTTCAGAGATGCATAAAGCCATCTGGGCCTGTATATTAACACCCACGGGATTTTCAGGTTCCACGATGGAGGAGCAGAACGCGAGAGTTGATTATTTTTTTACACTTCTCTTGTCAACTCATTGAGAAAGAGTAAGAAACTCAACACCACACCATTCGACTTCATGACTCATTATGATGTAGGTTCAGCAGGCTATTACAGAAATTGTGGAGCTCCAATTATTCAAAGAACTTCTTTGGATAGCCCTTTTTCAACCGATGAACGGCTTGTGCAAGGGCAATTGCGACGGGAGAATCGCAGACCTCTTTCCTGAAGAAATCCGAGGGCCCAATGGTCTATTACAGAAGGGTGTAGTGGGGACATTACTAACCATTGTAAGTTTTCTTCATTGTTGCTTATTGCAATAACAAATCCCGTATTGCTCTATCAGATATTCTATACATTTCATAATTGGCGCACGCCAAAAAAGCCAGGCTGTGACCTGAATATTGTGTTTCATGACATTATGCTCGCACTCACATGGATGTATGCCAACCCAACCCAGTTTTCCAGGTTCACAGAGGCAATCAAGATGTAACCTTTCTTAAGGTTAGTGTCCCCATGACTCTTAGCTTAGTGATGATTCATATACATGTTCAGCGCCGTGAATGTGTTTCCGATGGACACAAAAAACCTCTGTCCGAAGACGTGCCCACAAAAGAGGCGACCAAAACGTCTGAGTGATCTTACACATATCATCCAGGTGGTTGTCAATGGTTCCAGTCTTCCTAATATGGTATTCACATCTTTGCATTCACAAAGAATTTGGCAGTAGGTGGATGATTCATGCTTTGATGATGTACTTTGATGTAGAATATGGTTAATATGCAACGCGAGATTTTGAGAAGGCATAACCACGCAAAGTTGAACATAAGACTCAAGAGCAGAAGCCCTGCAGGGCATTACAGATGACCTTAACCCACATCCTTGTGTACAGAGTGAGATCCTCAATTTGACAACCAGAAGGCCTTTACCATGTGTCATGTTGGTCATGAGTTTCAAGAGCAGAAGCTCTTGCATGCGGGCCAGATGAGCTCAACACACGAACTGATGTAGATGGGAGTGAGAAGATCCTCAGCTCGAGGACCAGAAGGCCTGACCACATATTGAACATCAGATCTAAGGGCAGAACCTCACACAAGGCCTGATGGCATCAATCCTGAGCAAGGAGATCTTCAACTCGACAACCAGAAGGCCTTTATTGCGCATCACGTTGATCATGAGTTTTAAGAGCAGAAGCTCTTGCATGTGGGCCAGATGGCCTCAACACATGAACTGGTGAAGATAGGAGCAGGGAGATCCTCAGCTCAAGGGTCAGAAGGCCTAACCACGCAAAGTTGGACATGAGATCTAAGAGGAGAACCTCATACAGGGTCAGATGGCCTCAACCCACATCCTGGTGTATTAAGCGAGGAGACCCTCAATCAACGGCCAGAAGGCCTTTACTGCGCATCACGTTGGTCCCGAATTTCAGGAGCAGAAGCTCTCGCATGCGGGCCAGATGGCCTCGGTCTAACACTTGTAGGTGAAACGTAGGAAGAGAATATTAATAATAATAATATTTCAATGTGCATAGTTTGTCATTGTTTGTTGCATTCGCTCAACATTGTAATTTGATATACCAAACCAACAACCATCCAATCACACAAGTCACAATTGCCTCCGGGTGATCTTACGGCAAGAAAGCCCTTTTCTGACCATATCTGATATACATCATACATTTCAAACATGGCTCATACAATGCAAACTGCTTCAATGGGACCGCTTCTCATGAACAGCGGAAACCAAGTTATGGTAAGCCATCGTCATCATTGATTGTAAGTAGCTAAATTTAAACAACAGACTCAAATAGAGATCTGGATGGCATCAGTAAGTCCGGTAGGCTAATGCTACAGCCAGCAGCTTTACCTAACGTGTCCAGTGAGTCGAATCAGTCACAGCGGCCATGGTATCGCCCATGACACCCTTGCACAGTCTGACTGCAGCGATCAAAGATTGAATCCTACGCACCATAAACAAAGCGAATCAGCGTTTCAGGTGTGTTGTGATTTTTATTTAACTCTAAGCGTCACTCAAGAACACTTCTAGCTATAGATTTGAGTAACTCACCATTGTACTATGATTTCATCACATCTACCACTGTATCATGATATTCAACTTACTACGGACCAGCACTATATACATTAAAGTCCATCCTAGCCTCGTCTGGTTCCTCCTTCTACATAGTACATACAGCACATCAATAAAATACCCGATTGACTACATATGCATATATACTGCAGTGCCATGCTATCTGCAATGCTGTACTATATCCTGCATGATATTGAGGCGTGCGCGTGCTAATTATATCTGTGGCTCAGGGTTGGTTCCCTAGCAGCCCGGGGGCAATTATGATAAGTACATATCAAAAAAATTCATCATCGTGTGAACCAGCAGGTGTCCTGAACATCGCCACAATGGTACATTCAAACCAATCGCGAATCATGTTGAAGCTGTATGCTCAGGTCCGACATGCAAGACCCACATTAACCAGCAGGTGACAGAGTTGCTTAAGCGCGGTGTCCCTATCTGGCCAACGCAGCTTCGGTGGTACACCAAATCATTTCTGTGAGCATGCATCATGACCTTATCCACTGAGTACTGACTTGATTCAAACAACGAATGTAGGCAATCTCTAGGTCATGACTATAATGTGCTGACGATGAAAACCAACCCTATCATTGGGTTTGTTATTCGTTTCTAACAGTGCTGATTTAACTGTAGCATCGATAGGCTTGAAGGGCGTGATGGTTGGGAAGAGTTCATTCACCCATTGGGAGCTACATATAGCTACAATGCAAAAATGGTGAGTACCAGCTGGTATCTTGGCATTACATCTCACTTTCTGAAATCATAGAAAACATACACCGAAATGAACATCAGGACTTGTTCAGATGAACAGGTCCACAGGCTCGAGTCTTGGATCGACGTATCAAGGACCAAATTAAATGGACAAGAATGGTTGCTGATCGTTGAGCTGGTGTTGGTGGGAGGGGAGGAGATCTATCCATATTATTATGTGGTCCCAGAGAAACACATCATTACCTGGCTAGAACTGCTGGATGGCTACTTTCTTTTCCAAGAATGTACGGCGGTATGGCACTGGAATCACAAAAGTACATGACTTTTTTGTGCTTCGTTTCTTGACATTAATTATGCAGGACTCGAACTTGAAGCCCAATTTTGGTGAGCGATTAACTAAGGACGTCATCCTGGCCCAATCTAAACATTTCTCATTGCTTGTCAAGGAAACATGTTGAATACTTTCCATGCGGGATCAAAATACGTGTCTCGGAAGTGAGAGCTTTGCGGATTCAATTGAACTGGTACCGCATTGGTAAGTTCTTTGACATTGTAGCACCGGATCAGATGACCTGAGCAAGAAACAGAAGCATTAGCATTGGAACAATCTACTGTGGCTTCAATATTCTGGACTTTGGACCAAATGAAGGAAATGGTTGCTGAGCTAGCCATCGCCGGTACGCACCTTGGCCTGAATCTGCATTTTCAAGTCGATGACCAAAGATCAGAAGAACTTGCAGAACCTGATGGGACCATGAAGGAGCAGGGTATCACAATCTGCAGTGCGTGAGCCCTAGAAAAAACGAGCGGTTATAAACTTATCTCTTTACTTCCCAACAGGCAAGTTATTGCATGTACTCCATATGATACCACTTTCTTATATCAGACGTCGTTGATTGAGTTGTCAAGAAGGTCATCACAAATACCTGAACCACCATGGTCAACCCAAAGCTCACTTGATGCGAACACATTCACTGGGCGAAAGGCGCACAGACCTGGAAACCTCTCCTTTCGTGACTAGCATTGCATTCACTATGCTTTACATTCCAACAATAATGCTCAGACACATCAGAAATATTTATGTTGATGGTCTCATCAACAGGGTGGACATGAGGAACTTCATGGACAATTTCAGCGCCCAGGCCAAAGCTCAAACTACCGTAGTAAGTGCTATGTTGTAGACCCAAATGAGAACACTTACCACTTAATCTGTTCTAACAGGCAAGTGTCATCATGGCGGTCAATGCCAGCATCCTTGCCATCCCAATTTTAGGCTCACAACTTGCTACAAAGATGCTGTGCTCCATCTCCTTCATTTTCAGTGTCAGCTGCATTATCACATGCACAATAGCACAATACTTTGGGCACAGAATGAGATCACTCGACTTTGCGGTTTGGTTATCTTCATATTTATGCCTGCTGAGCCTGACATGAATAAATGAATAGGCGCATTACCTGCAAGGGAGGATGGTAAGTCTTGTGATCCTTGCAAGTATACCAAGTTACTTGTATCTCATGAGGCAACTCAACTTTTAATCACAACCACTGGGGTCACTCACAGGGATACTACAGTTTGGTTTTCTCCATCGTTAGATTTCTCGCAGGCATTTTCACAGTTGAATACGGGCTACCCTTGTCCGCAAGGATTGCATGCGGGCTAAGCCTCATTGTAGGGATGGGCCTTGTAATTCCATTGGCGGTCGCTAGTCTTGGTCCTGGACTGATCCGGTGATGAGGAATTGTTGATGTCCTGAAAGTTAGAGCACGACAATGAGCGACACAATTTGGACAAGTTATTACTACCCACGTAAGCCATAAATGCGGCATAGCTACTAGTGTCACTATTTTTTTGTAGCGTGCAACCAATCTACATAAGGCGGAAACTCTCCATTTCTACGTACCCTAATTACATTCGCACTTGTATGCCTGCATTCTGATTGCTTGTACGGCTACGGGTGGTCGACCTTTTTGAAAATGTTACTTGAACATATTGCCCTAACATGGCAGGCGAGTGCGTGACAATACGGATATGTCACGCTTCTTTCTCTGCAACTCCCAGTCAGCAAGTCATATACATATCTCATTCTGAAGGCAGAGATCCCTTATTTGCAAATTCATTCAACAATTTCTAGTTGTTGGGATTATTGGGTATGCATTTGCAGTCTCCATGGACCTCATGATGGTAAATGATCCCCCGACTGCTTTGGCTGATGTAGAATCATCCTATTCTATTCCGGACAGAAATCACTTTGCTGCGAGTGTATTCCCAATGCTGATGATTGATTCTCCCGTCAAAATTTGGCTGACTGAGATTGTGGGTAAATTCTCAGACCCTTCAGTCATATGTACTGCATAACCTGTTGATAGGACATGTACATTGACCTGCAAAACCAGGTGTACAGGACACCGGCCAGCCAATGCACTGCCTGTATAGGCCAGTCATGCAGAGCCTGTGCAGGCCGGTGTCCTATATACAGAATGATATCTCTGCAGTATCTGTGTAGGCCAGTGATGCAGACCCTTGCAGGCACTACCTATATACATATCCAGGCTGTGGTTGACATGTGGGTAGGCCTGGTCATGCAGGCTGTATGGGGTGGCTGGCCGCTGTGCTGCTGGTTTCTGCCACAGTAGGCCAGCCTGCCTCTGCAATATGTGGCAGGGTGTCGGCCGGCCTAGGGAACAATTGTTGCTCACAGGGCCAGCCCACAGTAGCAGCCTGTGGGAAGGGACCGGCCGGCTTGCTTCTCATATCTGGCTGAGTAGGCCAGTGCCCCCTTACGGTCTGCAGGAAGGGGCCGGCCGCCATCATGTGAGCATCTGGCCCAGCAGGCCTGTCCATTTCTGTAGTATGTGGTATGTAGCCGGCCGGCCTACGAATGAATTCTTGCTGGGCCAGCCCCCCCTTACAGTCTGTGGGAAGGGGTCGGCCGCTATCATGTGGGCATCTGGCCCAGCAGGCCTGTCCATTTCTGTAGTATGTGGCATGTGGCCGGCCGGCCTAGGAATGAATTCTTGCTGGGCCAGCCCCCATTTTCGACCCGCAGGTCCAGGCCAGCCGACATGCTTTGGGCATCTGACCCAGTGGCCTGCCCACCCCAGCAGTATGTGGGAGGTGGCCGGCCAGCCTAGGAATGAATTCTTACTTCCTTTTATGGTCTGCATGGAGGGACATACTGCTGGCATACATGTGAGTAAATATTAGGACACTTAACAGATTTGACAATAGCATTCATTCATGGATTTTAAAGTTGTCATTTTGAAGCAAATTTGAGTACATTTGAAGAGATATTTATTGGAGTGGGTGTGTTGTGTGCTTAATTTATAGCTTATGACACATCTATTTACTCCTGCATACTGCATTCCAGAACTTTATGTGGTGATCTGACCTTTAGAGCCAACCACAAAACTAGCCTCCAGCACCAATAAGTTGGCCATGGGACAAGATCCACTTCGATTTTCTTCAAAACACAAATATGGCACTTTGTATTATGTTGGGGTGAACCTCAATACAACATACATAAGGATTCTGTCAGAATTGCATGTGCTAGAGTCAATTTGTAGACTCTTGGGACATACTTTCTCAATACTTTTGTCTTTTATCTGGCAACAGAATTGACCAAGCAGGAGAGTTGGAGACTGGCACCTGTGCCCTTACAATTAATGTATAGAGTATACCTCCTTGCCATTCTGACCCAACCACTCAGTAAAGCTCCAGTGGGTTATACACTCATTTTCTAACAACATTTATGGAGTACCCCTTATCATCACACCTAACCACACTAAGTCAAGTTCTACTTCCTATACTGGGCTAGATGCCCAAATCATGTCGGCCGGCCATGGCCTGCAGGTTGCAAATGGAGGCTGGCCCTACAAGCAAGAATTCTCTGCCAGGCCGGCCGGCCACTCTCCACATACTGCAGGGGTGGGCAGGCCACTGGGCCAGATGCCCAAAGCCCACGGCCGGCCCCTCTACGCATGCTGCAAAGGGAGGCTGGCCGGCCAAGAATTCATTCCTGGCCGGCCGGCCACATACCACATACTACAGAAATGGACAGGCCTGCTGGGCCAGATGCCCACATGATAGTGGCCAGCCCCTTCCTGCAGCCTGTAAGGAGGGGCTGGCCCAGCAAGAATTCATTTGTAGGCCGGCCGGCCACGGCCCACATACTGCAGAGCTGGGCAGGCCACTAGGCCAGAATCTGTTTACATTCTGAATACTCACATCACACTTTTTTCAAGTCAGGAAGATCAACATTACATTAGCATATCAACTCGTGAACTATCAACTTGTTATAAGTAATTTTCCTTCAAAATTCTTGAGGCCCTGAGCCGAAAATTCTGCCCACATAGATGCCTGCCTCTCAGCATATGCCCTATTCCCATTCTTGATGCTTTCATCTGCCCGAACTCTCCACCTCTCCTCCTGTGTCCGAAACCAGGATATGGTCCAAAACATTTCATGTTGTACCAATTTCAGTTCTTCTGACCAACAGTCATACCGTGCTTTAGCTTTCAACCAATTCACACAATAAACTGGAAATGGGGAAATAAGGTAATTCACTTGATAAAAAACAGATCACAATAAAACTTACACTCATTCATCCATACATTCTTCTGACTGTCCTCTGTATTGTTGATCCTTCAAAACCAAGCCAATTTATCTGAACCCTGCCCATGCCTGTTTTCTTCTGTGACTTCTTTGCTCACCACTAGGTCCTGAGGCTTTAGGGGTTGATACACTGCCACTGTATCAGAGTCAGCCCCTAGGCGGAGCATTGCAGCCCTTGCCCGGCTGTAACCTCTTGCATGTCTGTTGATGGAGAGAGTTATCGTTTGGAGTTCCTTTTTAGATCTAGTGCCCTGGTGATGGACCGATTTGTTGGAGTGTATTTTCTCCCGAAAGACGACTGATCTATCACCCAGGGCTTGACGAAGCTTTTCCAGGCAGTCGTTTGCTTGACCCTTTCGAAGCTCGAGTTCTTCTTGACGTAATGCCAAGACAACATCATCCATGATGTGACCAGAGGCTGCCCGTGATGGCATCCAAATCTCGGTGACTTCGGCAGGTGAGTCAATATTACCGTCAAAGTCCAAAATGTCCTCTTCCTCTGGATCTTCCATATTGGATATGTCAGCCTCCTCCAGGCACAGTTCAGGGTTGTCCAGTGGTGCTCCTTCACCTCCCTTCAATTCCATACCATTAGTCATGACCTCTACAGCCTCATGGAACTTAATAATCTGTGCCATGAGCTTTTGCCGTTTTTCTTCAATCCCGGTTCTCTGGGAAGCAGTCGGATCCTGGGGCAGCTGCCTTATAGACAATCTCAAGGCATCTCTAGTAACACAATTTAAGTCAATCCAATCTGAAAGTCAGAATACCTTACTGAGAATTTTCTATATTTATACCCTCGATCAACCATGCAACAGACCCAGTCCTACCATTAGCAGATAGTTCATTTTCAGTCAATCTGAGACGTATTTCAGCCATAGAGGGTGCTTTAAATTATTTTCTATCAGGGCAAAATCAACGTCCACCATACAAGACCTACCTTTGTCCATTTTAAGCTGATAGATGTCAAGAAGCTCTCCACAGTCCTGAGCCGCTTTTTCGGCTGCCTTTTTCCACTCCTGAACATCATCCAAGTCAAGTGATCTGGTTAATTCCTCATATGGACCCTGAGTGTCACTAATACCCTGTAGGGCATGACAATACTTTTTGAGTAATGACTTGACTTTTGCCAAGTTTATGTCAGGTGAAGTAACAGAAACCAGAATAAATTGGACTTGCCAATGCCAACCAGCTTCTTCCAATTGGAATCCCGCATATGGTCATCCAATACTTCCTTTCGGTGAGCCAAAGACATGGATCTTGCAGTAGGGGAAATCTTGTTGAAAGGAGCCCAGAGCGTCTCCAATATTTCCCCATCAATATGCCTGGCTCCGGTCATAAAATTCAGGCTGAACCTAGGAAAGTATTGAAGCTTATGTGCGCTCAAATGAAACTTGCCAACTGCAGGTAATATTTTGGTCCCCTCGGGAAGGGACAGATGATAGCTCTGGTCCACCCGTTCAGCAAAGTGAATACTCCACTGACATGCAACATCATAGATGATGAGCGTTCTGCCAATAGGTTCGGGTGTATATTTAACTGCATTGCAAATGGAATAGTCCATGTTCATGTGCCTGACTACAGGGTCAGTCCATTGTCTGAAACAACAAAACGATCACAGACCGCTCTCCCTTTTGGAAGTCCACCACTGCATGAGGAACAAAGCATCCATGCCTAGCACATGCTGTTGCCCCAACCCCTGTAGCTCTAAGGTTGCTTCTTTGGATGTTTGTTGCATTCACTGCCCGATGATTGCTACAAGTGGATTTCTTCAAAAATATTACAAGTCGGGAGGAACCTATCATTCAAAATCATCACTTGCCTCTCTCTCTTCTACAGAATCGTGGATGTGAGCTTGATAAGGTCCCTCTGTTACCATGTAACCCTTTCCATCTGCTAGAGAAACATTGTCTTCCGGAATTTTCATTTTCATATGTTGTGCTATGAAATTTCCATCGACCACATATCTTCGCATAACTAACCACCTACCACAGACCAATAATGAGTGACATACTACTGCAATAGTTATGAGTCAGCTTACTCTTCATAGTCATATCTCCAAGACGTTGGCAAGTTGATTCCAGGTTGTGGACATGCTGGGCAATAAAGGGCTAAATCCCCTGGACCAGGGGATCATTCCATGTCATGTCCAAACCCGAACCTTTTTCTATTGACCAAATCCCGCCATATACATGACACTCGCATAAGCTCACGGTATTGGTCCTTTTTATCCTATCAGCAGGGCACACAATCATATAAAATTACTCACCGGTATTTTATCAGGGAATGCATTGTTTGTGAACCGACGGAGCTTTTGATAGAAACTCATGGCTGAAGTCTTGCACTCCAAAGCGTCTATGAGGAAGTTATCCAGGACATCGAATGTGAAAGCAGATTGAGGGCAAGTGAGACTGGCAGGAAATAACATTGCTTTCATGAGATCGAGATGATGTGCCTTCTCAGCTCCAGGACACTGGCACCATGATACACTGTGTGAGTAAACACCAGTAGAGTGCACAATGACCAGGTTAGATACTCCTAACTGCGTGTCATTAATCGTATCCCCCTCCTCCTGTGCAAATACATCTTCCATGGACCCGAGATCTTCCCAGGGAGATGGGTCCGGCTGATGTGAGAGATTGGGGCAAGGTTCCCCCCCATGGCCAAGATACATTATATAACCTTGAGCCTGCAGGGTAGTAGTCTCGTAGAACCTGCCATTCCAGAGTTGAAGGTTGTGGAAGGGGTTGTGTTGATGAGCTTTAAGAACACAAGAAGGACACCAAGCACGTGTTCCTGAGCAAGACAAACACCGGATCAACCCCTCTCCTTCTCCACAATCATTGCATTTCCCGTTGTTGACCAGCTGCTCTAAGTCCAATAACACTGAAAGATATTCAGTACACCAAGGCAAATAATCTCAAAGGAAATCATTTTGGGCCTGCACATGATTTTTTTTTAAAAACTTGAGACTTTAAAATTCAATGAACTCACTTTTGTTTTTCTTTTCATACCATCCAAGCCTCCCATCCAAAAATCACCATGAGCCTCTCGGTTGTATTCCAGTGGTATATGATCTTCAATATGGTGGTGCCTGATTTGTTTTGATGGTGAAGCCACTTCTATCTCACTATCAGAGTCCTCATAGACAAATGAAGCATTAGCTTCTTTCCACGAATCTTTTCCCCTCCGAGTTTTTGAAGGGATATATGCATATTTATAAGCCCCTCTGTTTCTCTTTGATGGGCCAGTTCCAGATGAAGATGGCTGGACTCTGACCCTTTTTCTATTCCTCGGTGTGATTTGTGAGCTCATGAAATCGAGAGTCTGTCAAAGGGGACAAAACAACAAGAACATTGGCATTATCCAGGCAGTCCACCACCACCACCACCACTGCCCACACACCCCAAAACAGTCCTGTTCCTATCCTAACTATATTTGTAATTTATTGGCTCTCCGACCCGCGGGTTTGGGTTTCCTCCCTACCAACTCCAAAAAGTTCTTCTGCAAAGGAAAACTTGGCCTTGGCACTTTAACTCTATCATGCACAGCATCCTTCATAAAATGGGCAACCACAATTCTTTCTCCATTAATCCAAGGACCCACAGAGTGCTCCAGTACCCTACCGGCGATGTAGACCATTGCACCAGGGGAATAGTCTAGCTCTGCATGGACATCAGCCAAAGAAAGAGTTGCATGATGGTTTCAACCTAAACTGACTAGAAGATCAAAAAGTGAAGGAGATCCACCAGGATCTCTGTGGCTGAAGGTTGTTCGGTTGGCAATGATTTCCAACCCTGAAAAGATAGAGGGCCAAGAATCCACCGGAGCCGAATTCTTTTTTCGCCTCTGAACTTCCTTGACAACCTTGGAAAATGCAGAGGAGCCTGATTCAAAAAGGTCTGGTGCCACTGCTGCAGTAATGGAGTTCCATAGAAGTTCTGAAGTTGTCAAGGCACCTAGCCATTGTTGGACCTTCTTTGAGTTGTAAGACTCGGACGTTACCAGAGGATCTATCAATCGCTAATCACCAGGTGAGAACTAGGAAAATTCAGCACTGAAAATACAATACCTCTTGTCTTTGCATGAAATATGCAGGAGACACAGTAATCCTACCAGCCCCAAATTCGCCCCCTCCCTCTGGCAGCACAAAGCCATCATCTCGCCAACTTTTCTTTTGATCTGAAATGGGCGGCAGGGTGTCAAGAAGAGAATCCCGTAAGCTTGAGGTGGCATTGTTAATGTAATCCTAATTAATCAATCAGCCGCTGAGGGAAAATCCCCATCCAGAAACGTACTAGACGAGAAGGTGACAAAATATTGGGCAGGTAAACCATCAAGATTCTGCCATGCCTGTCCACAAGGGTGGCCGGAGTTGAAATTTTGCCAAGCACTGCCTCAGGGAAGTACTTCTTGAGCCTTTCTGGTTCAGAGGTTGCTGACCCGTCCCGATTTGGTTGAGACAAGTTGACCCTGTCAGCGTATCGATCCACATCCCAATCAACATTGACTATACTTCTGCTTTAGAATTCATGACAGTTAAAAATATTTGGGGACACTCACTGGGATTGACTATTGCATGGGCAATAGTTAGTGCGGCCCGATCAATTTCATATTCCGAAATTGATGTATCGGTAAATGTAGTGTGATCCAGCGTTGCCAAGCAAATCTGGAGGTGCACTGATATTCTCATTCTAAAGATTAATCAATTAGAATTCAGCTAAAATTGATGATCCACCATAGATACCTGGCTTTATGCAACAGCTTAGTTACCACTTGCCCATCTTTCAGGACACCCATTTCAGATGAATTCCCAAGTATCTTGCTGATCCTGCTACTCAGAGCTTCCCTTACTTCAGATGCCTGGCTCTTCAGGTTCTCTTCCATGGTGGATGTAAAAAAGAAAATGAACCAAAGTTCTCACGAACTTCAAACTTAGTTGTGATGTAATTAATGAGTCTATAAATAAACATGATTAGGCTAATTATCGCTAATTAAGGCATATTTGGTAACACCCAAACTCTTGGCGATGCTAATGAAGTTTACAGTACTCTGCTGTCATCCGGACCTTTCTAATATCAAAGTCACTGTGCGGAATAGAAGGAGCAGATGATATGTAGACCTGATAGATGGGTTTATAAACCGAGCGCAATAGAAGAAGCAGATGATATGTAGAAAGGGAATATGTTAGGGGAAGCAGATGATATGTAGAAAGGGAATATGTTAAGGGACTACACTCTGATAGATGGGTTATAAACCGAGCGCAGTAGAAGGAGCAGATGATATGTAGAAAGGGAATATGTTAGGGGAAGCAGATGATATGTAGAAAGGGAATATGTTAGGGGACTACACTCTGATAGATGGGGAAAAAAATGAAGTGGTGGTAAGATAGCTATGATAGCACTAGTACATTACATTGTTCACATCCAAATGCCTTCCTATACCATGATCTCTCCAAATGCCTTCCTATACCATAATCTCATCCTCGTCAATATTCATGACATGCTCCTCATCAAGGGTGAAGATGACCATATCCTATGATAGTGTAGAAAGTGTCATTATATAGCCACAAAATATAATATAATGTACTCGCATTTGTTGAGTCATCTGGGTCGACGAGCATAGCATGCTCCTCATCAAGGGTGAACACGACCATATCCTATGATAGTGTAGAAAATGTCAATATATAGCCGCAAAATAAAATATAATGTACTCACATTTGTTGAGTCATCTGGGTTGACGAGCATAGTATGCTCCTCATCAAGGGTGAACATGACCATATCCTATGATAGTATAGAAAATGTCAATATATAGCCGCACAATAAAATATAATGTACTCACATTTGTTGAGTCATCTGGGTCGACGAGCATAGCATGCTCCTCATCAAGGGTGAACACAACCATATCCTATGATAGTGTAGAAAGTGTCAATATATAGCAGCAAAATATAATATAATGTACTCACCTTGTTTGCGTCTTGGTCAACAAGCATTGTATGCTGGTGTAGAGGTAGAGTGATTGAAGGTGAAAAGAAAGATTTAATCTAATTAAAAGTGACAGTTAGAAGACTTGATCTTTGACTGTAAAACATTACCAAATACGATGTCTTGAGTTTCCTCGAGAAACAAGTAATGATGCTGTAGGGTATAGATAGTCCTGGTAAATAAACTCACCGTTACTGACAGCGCTGCAACATATGGATGATAATGCAGTAAGTGAAGCATAGGGTATAGATAGTAAACTCACCGTTACTGACAGTGCTGCAATATATGGATGATAATGCAGTAAGTGAAGCATAGGGTATAGATAGTAAACTCACCATTACTGACAGCGCTGCAATATATGGATGATAATGCAGTAAGTGAAGCATAGGGTATAGATAGTCCTGGTAAATAAACTCACCGTTACTGACAGCACTGCAATATATGGATGATAATGCAGTAAGTGAAGCATAGGGTATAGATAGTCCTGGTAAATAAACTCACCGTTACTGACAATGCTGAGATATGGAGAAGGGCGAAAATGGGTGTATAAGTGGCAATAGGAAAAACGCAACAAGGACCATGATGCACCCTATCAGTCGCCATCACTATACAGTGTTTGTATAGTGGTGGTACTGACATGGGCTCATGTTTTGGGATACCAGGCGATGATGAAGGAAAAACGCAACAATGACCATGATGCACCCAGTATCAGTTGCCATTAGACAGATATAATCTCAAGATACCCTTCAAGGTGCACTCTCACGATCACATGACATTTATTTTTGGCAAAAAATTAAGGATCACATGACATTAAAATACCCATAAAGGGCAATACATTTGCGCTATGGCTTCACTAAAGTGTACAAGGTTGGCAAAAATAAAGAAAGACAAAAGACTAATGTAAGTGATGCAAGACAAGGATGGAGGGGCCCTCTCCATCCAAGCCTTGCACCCTAGAGTACAAAATATAAGAAAAATGCGCAGTAACTAATAATCTAATGTAGTGGAAGTCACTATGATATTGAATATTAAGCCGGCGCTTACCAGTTTGAAACATAACCAAGGAAAACTGATATAGAAAGCTAGAGAAAGAAATGCGGTTAGTGGTAGAGTATGATTGAAAGAAGAAAAGAAAAAACCCACTCAACCAGACAGGCGCAGAGCAAGAAAGTGTCATAGAAAGCTAGAGAAAAAAATGTAGTTAGTGCGGTATATTTGTAGAAGAAGAAATAAGGGGGCTTAACAAGGCAGGCGGAAAATCTGAAAGAGAGGTGAGTAGGTGTAAAAACTGGACAAAAGTAAAGGCGCCAGTCCCTAGGGACATGGTTGGCCAAGAGCATATCCCCCAGATCCCAAAGTCCAAGGCGCCAGTCCCTGGGGACATGGTTGGCCAGGAACACAACCCCCAGATCCCAAAGTCCAAGGCGCCAGTCCCTGGGGACATGGTAGGCCAGGAACACAACCCCCAGATCCCAAAGTAAAGGCGCCAGTCCCTGGGGACATGGTTGGCCAGGAAGAACTAAAAAAACAAAGGGTTAGAGGCGCCAGTCCCTGGGGACATGGTTGGCCAAGAAGAACTAAAACAAAGTCAATCAAGAACCAAGAGAAAGGACTGACCTTAAGGCGCGTTATCAAAAGCTTGATAGCGCGCCAGCTGTCAAAATAAAATAAAACCAAGTCAGTACTACAAATCATATGACTTAACATTACTTACTGAGAGTGGTAAAAAGTCAATGTAACACTGCCTTTGAACACTTGCAGCTGCAGTCTGCAAGTGGCCAAAGGACAGGTACAAAAAGATAAGGAAGAAAGGTGTAATAGTGTAATATATATGGGTTATGGGACAAAGTGGAAACATGGTTGAAGTTGAGAAAGACGAACCGTGGGAACAAGGTTGATGGTTGAAGTATTGTTTGTTGATTTGTTGTTGTTTGTACCAAATGTTCCCACACTCAATTCTACTGGTTGTCGGACTTTGCCGGTGGAAGTCACGTGCATGTTTGGTTGGTTTTTCAACTTGTTTCTTTTGTCTAAGTCTCTTCTCTCTCTTGTCAACGCGTCTCTTTGATCATATGAGTGTCTTTTGTTTGTTTTTGTCCACGTGTCTCTTTTGCTGACGCGTCTCTTAAGTCATGTGAGTTTTCTTTATTCTATTTCTATGCTAATACTAACTACAATACCAGCTCTTGTCACCCACTATGGTCCGCACCAAGAACACCGCCAAGAAATCCACTGGCGCCTCAGCCCCACGCGTCCTCCTCAACATCTCAAGCACCCGGACTTCTGGAGTGGATAGCCGGAGAAGGAAGGCTTTGACCGCCTCCAAGGTCAAGCCTGTGGGAGGTGGGGACATTGAGAAGAGAGATGCTCATTATAAGGTGCGTCTTACTTTTTCTGTCTTGTATTTGCTGATTCACTTTATCTTTCTCTCTTCTGAAGGCTTTGACCGCTGCCAAGGCCACCTTGCCTATGGGAGGTGGGGACTTGGCAAATACAAGTGTTCACAATGAGGTGCGTCCATTTTCTCACTAATCTAGTTACTAATGTGCTTTATCTTTCTTCCTTTTAGTATTGCATAGTCTGCAGGGATGGTGCAGGGCGCTATGAAGAGAATACTCTCTTCATGTGCGCTCTGTGTCCCAGAGTTGTGTGCAGGCTCTGCCTGCAGCTGCCGCCTGACTTAGAGACCACAGTCCTGCAGGACAACATCTCTTTCCGGTGCATTTGTTGCCACATCAAGATGGAACAAGGTGGCGCATACTTTGTGAGTTTTTTGATTTTATTTTATTTTTTTGTTCACCCCTCATTGATAACAGGGTTTCTATAACGCCAACCACCTTCCGGTCTTGGACAGGTTCTTACCCATCAATGGCGCACTTGAGGTGTCTGAGCGAGCCGAAATTTCGGCGGCCACAGTCATTTTCATTCACCTCATCCTCGTCAACTTCACAGTGGCTGGTAGCCCTATGGAGTTTGCTCATTCCTTCCTCAAGCCCTACTATACTGGCGACCACATCCAGTATCTCAACGTCTACTATGACATTGGCACTGATGCCAAGCTTCCCGCCTACTGCAGCAACATCCAGAAGATAATGAAAGGTTTGAAGAAGTCCTTTGTCTGGGAGCGTGTTGTGATTGGCGTCTCTACTCACACTGATGAGGATTTTGGAGACCCTTTTACTGGGTATGAGGATGATGCCTCAGAGGGCTATATCAGCACTCCGGTCAATGATGTGAGTTTTTTTTTTCTTTCATAGTGCGCCAATAAGTGACCCTTTTTACAGTTCTTGGAAATAATTCTCCAACCCTGGAAAACTCTCATTGATGCCGTCCAGGAATCCTACCTCTGGATGTTCTGTTGTGGCCACCTTGTCACCAACTTGGACTCATTCCATGGCTTGCAAGAGGCTGTTGTCCGGTGAGTTTTTTTTTTCCGTTTATTTGACATTATCTAATGTTCCTACAGACACAAATTAACTGGTACCATCACATTCAATGCTCCTCGGTTTCAGCCCTCTTTCGCCTCACACTTGCTCATTGCGTTCACAGAGAGGGTTCTCATTGGACGTTGCCCACTTCGTTTAGCATTCAAGGATATGCTTACACAAGCCTGTGACCTTGGTCGCCACTCTGACATTTATCTGCTGACACCTGTCAAGGAGGGCGCCCTCACTTGCTCTAGGTTTGCATGGGCTAATGTGGAGTTCCGTCCTTGGGGCCACCACCTGCCTATCCAATGCAGTGGGTGTGGTTGGGCTAATTCTTGGAGGTCCGCCTATGTCAAAGGCAGCAAGGACAAGGCTTATATTTTTTGAGTGCAAAAATGACTCTTGCAATGTAAGCCATACATTCTCTCAGCCACCGGGGTCCACAGTACTTTATTCTGGTAGGGAAGAATGGTAGTACTTGGTTGGATATTCCATTAGAGACACAGTTGGCTTGATTTACATATTTTTCTTGAATATCTGTCTTACTTTGTACTTTGCTTCATGTTATCATTGTTCTGAGTTTGAGTAATCATTTGTTTGGTGTCTGAATCTTGAGATTTAGTATATAAGGCTAATGTCATTGAATTTGTGAGTCGGTCAGATTTATACTTGGGTGATTTTGTGCTGGTTATTTGAATCATGTGACCTTAAGATAGTCACCTGATGAGCATGTGACCGTGTTTTGATCATGTGACATGGTTTGTTGATCTGTTGTCAAGTGAGTTGGTACTGGTTACACATTCTGCAAACTTATACCGGCCTCCATTCTCAAGATTTTTGCATACAATGGCTGACTGGACACATGTATTCAAGGCTGTTTTGGATGAGCACAAGATTTCCTATGTTTCAGCTAAAGGAAACCCCTGCTGAGAGGGCAAAAATCCTCAAAAGCATCAAAGATGCCATACTTGAAAGTGACCAGGCCAAGGATGCTTCGACTATGCTTCCAGGCAATAACATTCGGAAGGTGAGCTTCCAGTCTCTTGTCTATATTAATCTAATTTTATAGGCTATCCATACATATTACTTGCATTTTCTGGAGGATGACGAGGACCGCGATCTCGAGCAAAAAATCATCGAGGGAGCTCATAAACTCACATCTGGTGCAGGCATCATCACTGTAGATATGGTCAAGGCCGTCAGGATGACAAGCCTCTGGATGCTGCAGCATTCAAGACTGAATTCTCTCCTTTTGATGTCACACAGAAGTTTGTTCAAAGAAGAAATTGGGGAGTATGACAAGAAGCACTGTGGACACCTCTGACCTAAGGTCCATGGGGACAAGGACAAAGCTGGTCTGGTCCTGGTGCAATGCCCTGTCACCAGATGTACATGAGGAGCTCAGACTTGTGGCAGAAAAGTGGAACCAGGAAGGTGCTCTTTCCGACGCCAAGGACAGGTATTTTTTTAACACTACATTGCTATATTTAGGAAAAACTCATGTGTATCTACAGATACCGCAGCCGACACCAGAAGAAAATCATGGAGGACTTCATAAAGATGGCAGGAAGAACCATGGGTTTACATGTTGTGATGCTCGTAGCTCATGATCGAGGGGAGGGGAAAATGCCTGGAACAACCATGTCAGTGTTATTTTTTTCCCATTGACATTACCATTGACAATCTATTGGTTTAGTTGGGAATCCTGTCCCAGGAAGGCGAAGAAAACCTTTACTCTGGCTACCAAAGACAACAAGAAAATGGGCTGGAGAGTCCAAGACCGACTTGCTGACTGGCTGAATGAAGCCGAGTATAGTAAAGTCTTGGATACAGGTATTATTTAATTGCTAATGATCTAGCAACAGGCTTAGAACCTGAGGACCAATCTGACGAGGAAGATGAGAAGTTGCCCGATTTAACAGTGGAGGTAGACAATGAGGGCTATCCTTACCTACCGACAGGCTTTGAATCTCTCATGCTCAAGAACCAGCAGAAGGTCGTACGAAAGGTATTTCAAAAGGCTTATGGTGATTCATTTCTATTTTCGAAGTACTGTATTTTTCTGACCGCTTACATTCAACAGCGGTCATCTCAAACAACCCTAGGGCTGCAGTCCCCTGGGGTCATATTACCCAAGATCCAGACCATTACCTTGACATGGACTGTATTCCTCGAAATGTCGTCATCAAGGATCCTTCTCACCTGCAGAAGGAAGCCATCAGTATGATTTTTCACTTTGGAAATATTGTGCTAACCATAATGAACCAATTGTCCAGTTCATTGGGTATAAGAAAGGCGACTTCTATGATTCACTGGCTAAGAAGGGGGATGTAAGTAAAAAATCAAGGAAGAACCCAAAATATGTCGAAGTATCATCAGATGAGGACGAGGGTACTGAAGAAGGCCCCCCAAGCCAATGGTTCTTCTGACGAAGAGGATGACTTGGAAAGCCACACCCCATCTCTTTCCGATTCCTGCCTGAATTCCATATGGGTGGTGACACAGTCGTGTTATCTTCAATCCCTCTCTACCCTCCCAACATATTCTCGTCTGTTGGCCACAGTTCAAAAACTCTCCAAGACAGTATGTATAATTCACTACATTTGTGATAACAGCATTAAAATTGACTATTTTTGAAAGCAAACTCCTGATCCTAAGGGCAAGGCTAGGAAGCAACATCTGCCTGTCTGGGCATCTTGGACGTGGTCTGAGGCATATCTACCTCAAAATATGCACAGTGATATTCAGGCTTCCTCTGTCGCTTTGGAGGAACTAGGCAACTATGTCATCAAATCTTGTAGTTTGGGTATGATTGTTGTCCTGGGCCTTGGACTCCTCATTCGTGAGTGTTGCCGCGCTCAGGAGTATGAAGCAGATGAGGCTGGAGATGATGTGCCTCAATATTTGGGCGACTCCATCCTTGGCTTCGAGGTGGGGGACAAGGTTGAAGAGGCCATTATCAGAATCCAGGTGAAGGTGGACGCAATGCTGCCAGATGGTAATGAGAAGCAGATGACAGTGGGGGAAGAAGTTCACATGAGGCGCCTGGAGAACAAAAGGCAGGTGAAAGAGAGGAGGGAGGCAGAGCAGGCAAAGGTGGCTGAGGAAAAGAGGGTGGCTGAGGAGAAGAGGGTGGCTGAGGCGTCTCAGATGACTGATCAGAGGGCTGCCACATCAAAGAAGGCAAGCAGTACTAACACTGGAGGAAAAGGGAAGGGTAAACGCCCAGCAACAGATGTGGATGATTCAGTCATGAAAAAGGTGAAGACATCTGCTCCTCCTGATCCTCCTTGTCGCTCTACCAGAGACAGAGCAGCTTCAAAGAAGTTTAAGAACTGAGACATCATCATTAGCACAATACCTTAGAATCCCCTTCTTGCAGTTTGTTGTCAGATACACTTGAATTTTCATGTCTTTTTGAGTAACATTGATGTTAGCACTGACAATACTTTAGCAGGATGCATAGATGGAATGACCGACCCACTGATACCTTATTGGACTATTGGCCAGCCAGTCTGTGCAGCATGTAGGCCATGGCCGGCCGACCTACTGGTATTATATTGGCCTAGTGGGCCAGCTGCCCTATATGGGATGTAGAACAGGGGCGGCCGCCCCACTGAACACTTTTTGGGCCTTTGGGCCACCCGGTCTATGCAGTATGTAGGACATGGCCGGCCGGGCTACTGATAACATATTGGCCCATTGGGCCAGTCAGTCCATGCAGTATGTGAAGCATGGGCGGCCGGCCTATCAATAACATATTGGCCCATTGGGCCAGCCAGTCTGTGCAGTATGTAGGCCATGGGCGGCTGGCCTATCAATAACATATTGGCTCATTAAGCCAGCTTCCCTAGTCAACTGGATCGAGTGGAGACAGGCAGAGCAGATAAGGGGCAAAGGCAGAAGGGATATGGGGTTGGGTGGAGTGGATATCAATATGTCAGAGTGGTTGGATCTGGTATATGACAGCCCTCAACACTCAACCATGGTCATTTCCAGCACTTCCCCAGCACCTAACAATGGTTTGGATGCATTTTTGGATGCATCACATGATGCAGAGCTCCCTGTCACACTGGGTCACATCACCATGTGAGTTCTTTGGCATCTGTTTTTGTCTGATCACACAATTTACAGTAACTATTCTCAGTGCTTCCTCAGCACCTGATGCTGGCTCTGGTGCATTTTTAGCCACATCATGCAACACTCTGGGCCATGTCACCAGGTGAGTTGTTCTCTCTCTGTGTCTGTCTGATTGTGTATTTATGGTAGATGCAAGGCAGGAGCCAAGACCTACTGTTGATTGGAATGCCAGGCTTCTGCAGGGTTTTGATGCAAGTTTTGCTGCCCACCTGCAGCGATGTTATCGCCAGCCTGTCAACATGCTGGCCCCGCCTCCCACCTCCACAACTCCTTCAGTACCTGCTGCTTCTGAGTCATCGGTGCCTGCTGTTACTGACTGGTCTGCTGATCTCCATCGCTGCTGGTTTCAGAGCCACATGACACGTCTCAAATGGAGATGAGTCAACGACCCATATGCTAAGGTCACCACTCAGTGAGAGGATCGCAATGCCATGGATCAGCAACTCCATGACCTGTAATGATCCAAGGTAAAGTTGGCAAAGGATATCATGTGGTGGTGTAGTGGGGTGCACGTTGCAGGGGTTACACAGAAGAGGAGATAGCAGGAGGAGAACACAGGAGCTAGAATGAGGAAGGCATAGAGGTTAGGAAAGTAATGCAGAGAGTAACAGGAGGTGGAGTTCAGGGGTCTCAAGGGTTCGGGGTCCTGGGAGTACATGCAGCTAGACACATGTTCTACAGTAGAGACACAACCACAACATGTTGGTGATCCTTCCCTTCTCTAGAGAGCAAGGCTGGTGGGTACAGTGGGAAGAGCAACTTGAGTATGACTGCAAGATTGGTGTGAGGGATGTGGATATGTTCTGCTCTCAGTTGGATGAGGCACTCAAACGTCAAAAGTGTTGGGAGGTGGTGGATGCTCGGCAAAAGCACATCTTTGAGCAGAGGAAGGGAAAAAGTCAGGAGGAGTGTCAGCATTTGTTTGAGCTATACAAGGAGGGCCCTCCACCTGACTGGGAGCCTTCTGAATAGTTTTTTGTGTTAGAGTTGTTCCTATAATATGATTTGATTTTTCTGATTGGATGGGAGTGATGTATTAAATGGGTTATGTGACATTATTGGAGCAGTAGGATGGGAGGACAGGAGATGGGAGACGGGAGACGGGAGACGGGAGACGGGAGACGGGAGACGGGAGACGGGAGACGGGAGACGGGAGACGGGAGACGGGAGACGGGAGACGGGAGACGGGAGACGGGAGACGGGAGACGGGAGACGGGAGACGGGAGACGGGAGACGGGAGACGGGAGACGGGAGACGGGAGACGGGAGACGGGAGATGGGAGATGGGAGACGGAAGATGGGAGACGGGAGACGGGAGACGGGAGACAGGAGACGGGAGACGGGAGAATTGGGAGGAAGGGTGTCATATACCAGATCCAAGCACCTCCAATACCACCTGTGAACATCCCCACCCCTGGTCCGACCCCCTGTTTCCCCATCTGCTCCATTCCTCCTTCCCTGACAATGCATGAAGTGCACATCAGCAGGATTAGCCCTGCTACCTCCGCCCGACCCAGTTCTGCTTTTCCGACACTACCCCTATGTCCTCCAACACCATACCCCATCCATCCGACCCTATCTGGGCTTCCGCTCCTCCGCCCTATTGGTCCACCTGATCCTACTCCTACTCCCTCCACTTTTCCGACCCGCTTAGTTCTACTCGTCTTGTCCCACCCAACTATTGGTCCGTCTGACTGCCTCACTGGTCCACTCCTAGACTAGGAACCACTCAACTGGTCCTATCCCCATTTAGTATCATAGTTCCGCTTTTCGGATCACCAGTAATCCCTATACCCTAGTGATTCTGATCTGTCGCGTACATACTGTTCCCCGAGCCTTATTCTCATATGTCTCAGTCATCCTATTGTAATCCTGTACACTCAGCACATAGCCTTCTGCTATGCTATGCTCATCACTTAGAGTATATAAACATATGTGCATTTGTCTGTAGATACTCAGTCTGAATATTACCTTTTCTAAGCCCTGCTCTTCTGTTCTTTGACTTGGGCCTGATCCTAGTCAACTCCTGTTAGCCGGCCTAGGGGATTGACTCCCTAGGTCGGCCACCCTCCAATCCTCCGTTCCCCCGTTTCCCCATTCCTCCATTCCCGCATTCCCCCGTTCCTCTGCTTGTCCAACTTCCTGCACATTGGACTTGATCCCTGTACCTATGTATATCCAACCCCTTTAGTTCCACTCTGCTTCGGACTTTATCCAAGCAGTTCCTTCTGCTCCGCTCCTACTGTTGGTTCCGACCACAGTAGTCTCCCGCCTCCCTCCTGTCGGGCGGAACAACCCCCACCCGACTTTCCCACACTCACCTAGTAGTCTGTCAGTCCTCCTTCAGAGGACCCCCATTCCGATGTCCTGTCGGAACTCATAGAACTCGTGTCAGACTACATTCCGAAATTAGGGGCATGTACTTGAGTAAGGGGCGCAGCATACGAGCTGAAGCCAAGCCCCTCAGACTCCGCTTTACCCCTGAGCACGGTCTTAACAAAGGGCATGAGTCAATAGCAAGACACAAACTTCAGTCTCACTGTTTGTGCAACATCCCATAACTAAAACAAAAGTATATAATATGTAGACACAGTGAGGCAAGGCACCAAAGGTGCCTCCAGCAGAGCATGAAGTGCTCTGCTTGCTTCCTGTGCCGAAGGCACAATGGGCTTGGACTCGTATCAAGGGGGGGAAGAAGCAAATATGTTTTTGATATGTTTTCCATTGCTTCACACTTGCAGAGGCCCTGTGACAGGCACTGGGGCAACAACAGACCAAAAAAGCGGTTTAATATGTTCTATCATATCTATTCAATCTAAGCTGCTACTTATATACAGACTGTATCTAATTGTGGTGTGGTGGTGAGCCAGGGAGGTGTGGGAAGGGTTGATATTGTGGAGAATACCTAAAATGGGCGATGTTTTGGGAGTTGTGGAGAAGTTCCCGGTGGCCAAAAATGCGAGTGGGAACAATGGAGCAGCTGCAAGTGCTATGCTGTATCTCACACTGGCAGTTAGTGCATTTTAATGCATTACTCCCCCAGGGTCTTGTGTGCAGGCACCAGTGAGGAAGTCTGAAGTGTCGCAGCCATGAGAGGATGGAGCTAGTACAAGAAATATATTAACTCTAGTCTTTGGTAGGGGACAGAAAATATTTCGGGGTACGCATGTTTAAAGCGGGATTGCGCTCACCAGCACTCATAGCAGTTAAACTAGTAACCTGATCACACATGGATTCCATCAACCTCGCCCGTATCAAGAGGCGGGGCTCTGGATCAGTTCGAGTGGAAACCATCTCCATTCCCGTCTTGGAGAAGTTTAGAATACATGGATGCGGTCAATACCGTAGACAGGCTCAGCAAAGGCCGAAGAAGCTACTTTGAAGGCTGCGACGGATACTCGATTTGTGCTGCCCAGACTCCGTGTATACGCGGCTCGATAATGAGGTAACATGGATATAGATGATGGCCTGACTGTCCTATACAACCATAACACGCTCCTGCAGCTGCAGCATGTGCAAAGAGCTTCAGTTCGATCCTGACACTACTCGTCATAGACTATACTTGCTGGGCCCCTATATCCGATTAAGGCGACGAAGTTCAATCATAAAACTGTGAGTTGGGCTTACCGCATTTCAACACCCTTTACAACGTTCTCGATCAGCGAGGAAATGGATCAACAAGAGCGAGACGCGAACCTTATCCTTCCAACTGATCTGTGCTTTCAGCTCTGTGTGACCGAATAGAATGATGACGTCGAATTCAATCTTATAATACTTCGAACGATCTAGAAACGATTTTTGGGGACGAAGTGTTTGGGCTAGTTCCTGGAGGTCGGCATGAATCGTGCACAGCGTGGAGAATGAGGCTGAATTAGATGAAGTCAGCATGAGTGTGCTCGAGCAGTGAATGGCTCATACACCGTTCAACGTCTAACCACTGCGGCTCCTGGAGGGCACCATTGTAGCACATTATGTCCGTGCTGTGACTCGTGCATGCAGCGAGTGATTTTAGGACAATATAAAAGGACTTCCGGAATTCGCGCAGCTCAGATACTTGAGTCCCCTATAAGACAGATCTGAGGTCGGCATATACCGAATGAGTAGAATGCTTTATTCACCTTCAGCAAAATACTCTGAAACCTATTGGGGATACACGGTTTACCGGAAGCATCGATGAAGCTTGTGTGTTGTCGGGCCGAGTGCTCAGGATCCTGAGAGTTGTATGGAGAGTTGCATTCGATGCCATAAGTGGCTCGTGCAACTCGAGACGACACTAGGTGGTCAATGTAGAACGAAACTGCTCCATCAGCAACAGCCTTATTGCTGTGGTCATCTGATGAGTAGAAGTAGTCACTTTGGTATTTCAGAGCTTACACATGGGCATCTGGGCGACAGAAGCTTATACCGAGAGGTTGAAAGTACTCCTGGAGTTTCGCAAACAACCAGTCGCTGGCGGCGAAACCGCCGACCAAGAAAACGAACTTCACAAGGATGTCAGAATCTGCCAATATAAGCGGAATATTATGCTCGCATTGACTGGGGTCGAAGCCGCACGCATCTGCTGCTCGAAAGCCTCGATGATGGCTTTGATGGATGGTTCAAATAAGTCGGCGATGTCCCGGCTGCACGGTAAAACGTAAGTGTTGGGAGGAAGGCATCCCAAAAAATATGGACGAACCCGACCAATTTCAATTGCCCTGATCGAATGTCGTACTTCGCATCCTTGTCACGGATGGTGCCAAATTTGATGTAAGATGGTTCATCAGGCTTACGGAACCGAAGCTTCGTGCTTTTGTCGAAGATACTCGTCATTTGTGCGATCATCTCAGGACTGGAGTAGTTCGAGCCCGAAAGTTTGTCTGCACAAAGAAGTTGCCATCAGTTTTTGGTTGCCTGCATGGTCGATTCATTCACGGACTTCGTAACAGAGTATGAGCGCGACGGGTAACAAAGACTGAGCCTTGCAGGCAACCTGAATGGACTTCAGCAGGAGAACGTCACAGTGAAAGCGGGACTGACATTCAGCTGGGGCAATCTCCTCGAACGAGGTCGGGGATAACTTCATGGAGTAGGCGCTGAGATCGATGGTTCCGCCTCCAGCATCAACAACAACGACTCCTTGGCTGTCAGATTGGTTTTCCTCTTCGTCGGGGTAATCTGACACAGCTATAGGGGTTTTAGAGAATGCATCCGATGCAATCACGTTGGTAACACAGAAATGAAGACTCGCTTCGCCTTCAGTCAAGAGGTGCACGTGAGATTGTTCCTGGTCAGATGGAATGAGACCAGCGAGCTCGACGGCGCGTCTAATCTGTTGTTGTTGCGCGCCTTCCCAACCGTTCGGGTGTGTAAGTACGAACTCAATGGAGTTCTCGACCGATCTCCAAAGACTCAAATGTGATTCTTGAATGTAAGTCTGAGCGCACTGGAAAAGGTAGCGCATGAAGTCGGCGAGGACCTGTACTGCGGATTTGCCGTGTGGAAGAGGTGGTATGTCGTCTTCCCGTATGTGAGACGATGCCAGACGCTTGGCGCGAAGATGAAGTTTCCACCTGACTAAGATTAACATACAGCCTGCACTTCATCCTCGACGCTAGACAAACCATTCAAGCCTCACCCATCCCTCATCTTCTGCCTGTTCAATTATGTGCTCTTGTAAAGCCTCGGCACCCACGGCGCGGACGTCTCCCTGCAGATCATAGTAGATAATTGATGGTATTTTGGAGTCGCCTCCAACATGCTCTTGCGCAGGATATCTGCGACCACACCATGAGCAAGAGATATGCTGATGGAGCGGCCTACTGACCTTGCCACCCCTCTGATTACGGGCACTTCCCCCGGGTCTAGGATACAATACGAGACACCACTGAATGTGGTACCGACATCGAATGCAAGCACTAGCTTTCGCGTCAAGCCTTTGTACGGTTCCCGTGGAAGCATATTAGAAATCTGAAGGTTGGTCACTCGCTTTCTGGTCGAAGGTTATATGTCAAGGGGCGTGCGTTGCATTTTAAAGGTCACATACCAGGGTTGAGGCGTGTACGCCTCGTGTTGTCATTGCATACACTGGGATAGAGCAAGGATGTGATGGTGTTCAAACACATGTTGTGCACTGCCTATGACCCTTTTCTGAACAGAGCAGATCCTCCCAAGAAGGTGAGAGTGCTGACGAGACCCTACGCCCATGTTCACGTAGAGCTTACTGTGACAATCTGAGTTCGGATCTTATAGAATATGTATGTAGCGGCTTCTTCGGAAGATCGAAGCTTCATGCAACCTTGGCCAGTACATTCGACATCTCAGCACTTGTTGTCACCTGCGGTTCCATGAATATTTGGATTGATGCGTGAGACCTCCCTTCATGATCATGACTGACGCTGACTTTCCTTCCTTCAATTTGTTGTAATTTTGAATGTGTATATAGTACGCGAGTGATACTGAACACGAACTTGCCTGCCCTAAATCATGTTTCTTCACAGCATCACACCTTCGATTCAGCGTTGAAGTCACTTGAAGTCTGGCCGCTAGTTAATGGCAAGTTGTCTCGCTCCTCTTCACCTTTGTTAATAGTAACACCACGGTCACTGGTGATTCAGGTCTAAACCACATCATCGCTAGCGGCCGTCAATTTGACATTGCATCAGAGTGCACCTTACTCGGACCTGTGGGACGTGCTGAATGTGTAGTGTTTATATGGTGCTACACTAAAACTGTTGCGACTCGGAGTTCGTTGGGAACGGACATGCGACAGTCGCTGAAATCATCGCGTGAATATGGGTCCGATTTAAATGCTGCTGACGCATTACAAAAGTTCCGTCTGGTACGTTGATGATATTTCATCTGAGAAGTAACATATTTCTCTGGCTGTTCGCGTTTCCTTTCATTGATTGACCACTGCACGGGAAAACTTGTAATAATAAGCAATTGGCCCGCCTTCCAAGAAACATCATGCGAAGGTATTTAAAGCTGAGCAACCACCTTCACATCGCCACGCACCCATGCATCACATATCTCAAGACGACGCCTCGTAGCACGTTCCAGCAGAGGATCCCTTCTGTAGATGTACAAGTCAGTAGTGACCATACTCTTGGAAATGACAGGATGCTTACGATATCATAGCAGCAGAGAGCGGTATGCTTCGAGTCGCATTTACTCGTAGAGCTAACCTCGGTGCAGTCTGAACCTTGCCAGCCACTGTTGGTCTATAACAGGGCACCAATGAGCACGATAATACGATGCAGAACAGTGTCGACCTACATCTCCAGCTGTCTTGCAGCACTCGAGCGTGGCACCCTTCTGACAGGCTGAGTCTGTAGACGCAGTTGTGACGCCAGCAAGGGCAAGGATGGCACAGACGACTGGTGTGAAGCGGATGAACATTATGGTGAGGTGGTTGGACACTGGAAGGTGAGAGGATGGGAGGTCGTGGTTTTATAGTTTTCTGTATACACTGGTATGTAATAGACCATGGCACCCATCATCGCCATTTAGTTAGCATAACTGTCGGTAAAGCAAGCCACTACTAGTACTTAGTACTGACGCTAGTGTTAGTGCACACCGAGTAAATTCGATTAGTTGACGTACATTAGAATTGTGCGGTCATCCGGCACGAGCCCTTGTGCTGTAATTTACCCAGCTAGCACCGTGTACTCAGCGGAGACATGGGTACACAAGCATGGGGAGGCCAGTACAACTTCTAGGAGCAAGGGGTTGTAACCACGTGATCTATTACTAGGATGGATAACGCGTTGTAGGTGATTTCCCATCATTTGGCTGTATCTTGTATTGGTCCATGTCGTTACAGTTCTTGCCGTACGATCTTCTGTTCAATATCGCCCAGGATCTTGACATCGATGATGTGCACAATCTTCAAGCGGTCAGTTCTTTGTCTTTTCAACCTGACTCGACATGATCTTACCGATGTGACTTAATCTTTTTAATTATTTAGACCTGTAAATCCTTGCGTTTGTTCACACTTACGCGGCCCGTGTATCGCCAACTAGCCCACGACTTACTCGCTAGATCCAGACCCCTTCCTCTCCACGCCTTCCAGCGCCTCTCAGATCTCTCTACACCCGCCCTCATTGCTGCCGTCGACCGTGCCCGAGGTCTAGAGAAGGCATGGGCGATCCGTGCCCCTCGACCTGCTCGCCCAAATCCGTACTATGGAAACCAGTGGTACATCACCATCAGCGTACCTTCCCATGAGGAGATCGATTGGCTATCCCCCATCACCAGCAGCTACACACTCTGTGCGACTAAGAGCGGCCGTGTCTTGTGCTGGGATGTGAGGAGGGATATCTGCCTTGCTGAGTGGGATCCGAGGTCCTTGGCAGGCTCCAGTGAAGGCGCCGACGACGAGGATGAGGACGATGAGGAGAAATGGGAGCTATGGAAATGTCGTGTCGAATTCGAAGAGCGCACCGTATATTTCACCATGGCTAGGGTTCTCAAGGGGTTGCTAGTTTTCAATTTTCTTCAATATCCTGATCGAATTGACATACCTTCCCCAGATACCACGATGACCGCGTCATGGAGTTCATGCTCATGCGATTATTCTTCCCTCAAGAACTCGACGATTACGACGAAATAAATCAGGCACAACTCTACGTCCAATCTCCCATTCTTTCTCACCTCGATCACTATGCCAGTGCTGTTGAACCCCAACCCCAACAACGTGAAGGAGACTCCCCGATCACAGTAACTCCTAGAGTCCCATCACCCGCGCAAGATCCGCCCCCCTCGATTCCCATCTACGATCAACCTCCCACCCCCACCCCTTCACCTCCCAGTTCTCAAACTCCATCACCACAAGATTCCTCTCTGCTTAACTCCGGCAGCTTTGGCCCATCAAGCGCTACATCCAGTGCCCAATGTTCCCCGATGGCGATCAATGCAATCCTACCGCCTGATTCCGCAGAATGCAGCGATCCCCCACAGTTAAATGGAATTCCCTCCAATCAAGCGAATACAGTTGGAATCAGAGGCGATGGAGGTGCTGGGGATCCGTACCAGGGACCTGTCTTCTGTCATCCCTCACTCCGAGCGATGTTTATCCGCAGTGCGCCTGCGACTCCCTCTTGGGAGAGATACATCCCACTCCCTATGCATTTTGGTGAGCGTTTATTCCTTTTGTTTGTTTGTTGATGTGCCAATAAATATTGTATTCTGACAGATCCACCTCCGCCTCCGGCCCCAGTGAATATTCCAATTCCAGAGTCGGCACGACCAGTTTTCGGCACTCTCACGAGTTTCCACACCACAGGCGTCATCATGAACGTGTTCCTCCTCGACCCGCCACGTCGCTTGCTGAGCGCTTTTGTGTGGATTGCGAGTAGCAATACCATTGGTGAGTCTATCTTACTCCTTCGGCATCGGGAACCCGGGTACCCTAAGCAGATGTCACTGATTACTGTCATTCATTTGGAGCTGCGTGCTGACTGCTTTTATGATAGGGTTGTATGTACTCCTTGATTGGGCGAAAGAAGACTATGTGTTTGTGGATACTGGTGTTGGATGCGTGAGTGTTCCTTGTGGTTATTACGTTTCCTTCGTCTTTGCACCAATCCGTCCATAATTCAAGACCCCGTTCACATGGGGTTGGTGTCGGTACTCTGATTTTGTGTGCGCACACGATGGTTTTGGTCGCATATAGTCACCAAAATGCCATGTGGCGCAACTGATTTGGCATTTTTACGGATATGGCGACTCCAACAACACGCATATCATTACCTTATTGTATTTACCATATAACATTATCACCTGCTAACCTCCTTCTACAGCTCATCTCCTCGAATTGGTCCTGTATCCTCCACGAAGACCAAATCGTAATCCACAGCGAAGAAGCCGATGCCGCCTACCAGCACTTTTACCCACTCGAGGTGCTCAGAACATACGGCCGTCCCCGCTGCGCCGTGTCTCTACCGGCTCACGCGCAAACGCCACCTCAAGCGGAAGAGGGCGTACAACAGGAGAACACGGGCGACGGCGAGGACGTACCGGAATCGCTGAAGAACTTGTGGAATAAGCTCCCGACGATATGTGCGAGGCTCACGCCGACTAGGAGCATTTCAAAGAAATTTGTGTTTCCTGTTGTACCGGGAAGCTCAGGCGCGGTGGTTGGTGCGCCGCCTGCAGGTGATGAAAATGAAGAAGACGCTGACGAGGCTGATGAAACGGGTGCGGCGGAAGAAGAAGATCAAGGACAGACTGAGGATGGTATTGAGCCCGTTAGTGAGGAAGAACCGACCGGCGCCACTGAGGTATCCTCAATAGTACCTCAATCTGAGGACGAGCAGTCTGTTAGTCATGATGAAGAACCTGTGGACGAAGATGAGCCACCGGATGATGAAGATGAAGAACTTGAAGATGCTCATGAAGGTAGAGAAGAGAAGCCTTTGACTACGAAGAGGAGAGGCGAAAGGCGTGCACGTTTCGAAGATGAAGAATCAGGAAATGATAGTAACGCAGACGAACCCAGTGGCTCACAAGGTGGCGAGGATGCCGATGAAGTAAGGGTCGAGGATGAGGTCAATGCAGGGACTTCTTCCTCAAGCGAACCCAGTACTAACCCCGAACCTGCGCCGCAAAATGACGAAGATGCATCATCTTCTCAATCTACCACTCCAACCACTCCCGGACCTCAGCAGTCCACTGAGGGCGCAGTCGCTCCGACAACATCTGAATCGTTTACAAACCCTTATCCATTCCCTCCGTGGTACCCCGAGTCTGCACACTTTGTGCGGCAATGGTGGCCCAACCCTCCCTGGCGTCCCGCGGCTGGAAGCTGCACGGTTGTCCTCCTTGCAGCACACGATCCTGAGACACACCGCACGCGTTTTGTGCTCGCGCAGCATTACTTCAAGGTCCCCATAGCTCCTGAGACACTACCTATTGTAGGAAAAGCGAGCACAAGCAGTTCATCTTGTTCCACGCAGGCGAACGATGACGATATGCTCCATCTATGGTACGTCAGCACGCCGTTTGAAGTCGTCTGCGTGCTCGAAGAAGGAGACGACGATGAAGACACTGGCGACCGGCCGCGACCCCTCGTGGCTGTTGATTTTGGGCACGCAGTATGGGTGGAGTGTGCTGCCCCTGTTGTCCCTCCCGACCTTGATGTCCACGCCCGCGCCAAAAGCAATTCTCCTGACGCATACGACTCAGATGATGTTCAACCAAATGCAGAGCCAGATACGCAACTTCACGCGCACTTTGCCCATCTCGAGGACGACCACTCGCACCCACACCCACGGCGGCGGGTCCCAAAATGTCTGCGCTTCGTCACCTTCCCGCCTGTGTATGGCCGCCGAGGGCGGACTGAAGAGGCGGTAGTACGCACGCTCGAGATTCCGGAGGAGTTGGACTTGGATGTTGTTGAGACGATCAATATTGATCAGAGCCAGGGCGCTGTGATTTTGAGTGTGAGTGATGGTAAGATTTTTATTTTGAGGTATGAATGATATTACTGGAGCGAGGGTGCGGATGGATGTTTGTTATATAGAAGCTATCAAAGTGACGATTGTGATATGCAACTCGTGC